GGCCTTGTTTAACTACATTCACTGCGGAACATTTTGTGCGTGGAAATTAGAGTGAAATTTCTGGGACACGTAATGAGAAAGGAGGGCCTGGAGAATCTGATACTCACAGGGTGAATAGAGGGAAAGAGAGACAAGGGAAAACAACGCGTGACATACCTAGCGGGCTTAAGCAAGTGGATGACAGAACATCGCCTTGGGGAAGTAGCAAAGGAATAAAATATTGAGAGCTACAAGGGATAGGGAAAAGTGGAGAGCCACAATCGCCTACGTCCTGAAGGGACACGGTACATAAAAAGAAAAGAGGAACAATTTACAGTAATGTTACTGAGTGAAATAACAGAAGAAAAAATAAAAGTATTTCTCATGATTAAAACAAGAGAAAAAATTATTATGCAGTCTGTGTTTACGGCTGATAATGTTGGACGGTCACCTCAAAGATGAAGAAGAGACTCGAGGCAACGGAGGTATGGTTCTACAGAAGGATACTAAGGATATCATGGACCGATCGTGTGAGCAACGATGAGATTTTGAAGAGGATGCAAACAAGTAGGGAGCTTATACTTAACATTAAGAAAAGGCAGGTGAAATGTTTGGGACACGTAACTAGAAAGGAGGGCTTGGAGAATCTGATACTCACAGGGCGAATAGAGGGAAAGAGAGACAAGGGAAAGCAACGCGTGACGTACCTAGCGGGCTTAAGCAAGTGGATGGCAGAACAAGGCCTGGTGGGAGTAGCAAACGGACAAAACTTATTGAGAGCTAAAAGAGATAGGGGGAAGTGGAGAGCCATGGCCACCTACGTTCTGAAGGGACACGTCACATAAAATCATATCGTGTTTGGCAGGAGCTGGAATACCATTTTGACGTGTGTTGTGCCGCAGATGGTGCCCATATTGAACATTTGTGAAGCTTTATGAAATCGGTTAAAAAATCTACATCCCTTTGAATATCTTATTCGAATTTTCATAATTAATTTTTCTGAACCCTATTTAATTTTATTTGCCTGGGACATGTAGTTATTCAAATATTCACATTTTAAATTATGTCAATGTTGTGGATTCCGGGATGAAATCCGGTCTCCAATGAATGACAAACGCAGGAATGAAATAGGGCAAATAAATGTATTTACACAATAATACAATTGGTAATACGGTTAGTAGATCCAGAAATGCGGTTAGTAGCAATAATAATATATATATACAGTTTGGTAAATTCAGTCTCGAAGTAAGACTTCCTTAGAGTCTACGTGCTTGTAACTTTGACTTCTACAAGCGTTTACCTCACACTATTACTCTACCTCCAACTCAATCACAATCACTGCTCTGACTCTGGGTATTTAACAATCCAAGTACACACTGGTCGAGTCCACTTGTATGGAAAAGGGGTGGACCCCATAATAGTCAATTTTTTAGGGGACATCATGTACGATGGCAATAAACATGGAAATATTAACAAAATAAGACTTACATTTTTTTTTAAACATTTCACTCCAAGCAAGGCAAGAAAGCCACTAGCACGCAAGAGGTTACAGAGAGTGAGAGTAAAAGTAAAGAGGGTTTATTGAGGAAAATATATAGAGAAGGACGTGGATCAGGATCAAGGCATCAGAAGATGTCGATTGACATTACATTTGAATATTTGAAGATTAAAGCTATCAGGGAAGCAAGTAAAGAAGGAAGGGAGTTCCACTGTCAGGAAGTGCGAGATGAGAATCTGTTGGAGTAGAAGAGGCGGTTATATTTAACTGTTTCGGCAGTGAAAGGGTGGGGCCGAGATGCCAACCTAGTAGCACGCTTAAATTCATGCAGTTGGGGTACTAGTTAAAGTAGCTCGTCAGAGCAGTTGCCATGAAAATATTTGTAGAAAAGACAGAGGGAGGCTACATCACATCTGTGAGAAAAAGACTGTAGACGAGATGCCAGATCAGGACCTGTCATATTGCATATCCGTATGTTGGATTTTGTCTAGGACCTCGAGCTGAACAGTGGGGGCACCGGGCCATATATGGCAACAGTATTGTTTTAAGCGTTTAACCGCAAGAAAGGCGGGAAGCCACTAGCACGCAAGGGTTCACAGAGAGTTGGAGCGAGAGCAAATAGGAGTGATTGAGGAAAGGATGAAGAGAAGGATAGGGGATAGATCAAGGCATCTGGAGACGTCGATTGACATTACATTTGAATAGTTGGAGATTAAAGCTATCAGAGAAACAGGAAAAGGGAAGGGAGTTCCACAGGGGAGAAATGCGAGACATGAAGCTATTGGAGTAGAAGAGACGGCTACATTTAACAGTTTCGACTGGGGTGAGAGTGAGATGCCAGCCTAGTAGAACGCTTAAATTCATGAAATCTGGGAACCAGCGAAAGCAGCTCATCGGAACAGTTACCGTGAAAGTATTTGTAAAAAAGACAGAGAGAGGCGATGGAATGTCTGTGAGAGAGCGACTGTAGACGAGATGCCAGATCAGGACCTATCATATTGCATATCCGTATGTTGGATTTTTTCTCGGACCTCGAGCTGAACAGCGGGGGGCACCATCCATATATGGCAACAGTATTCAATGTAAGGATGAATGGTAGATTTGTCGATTTGAAGGATGAACTCGGACGCGAAAAAACCTTCTGGCGCGACACGGAGGACCAGATTTCCTTGCGGTAGATGTAGCTATTGATTCAATGTAGTTGTTCCACCTCAGGTCAGTGGAAAACGTGAGACGAAGAAGTATCAGAGAGACGCTCTCGTGGAGTTGAACATCATCCATGGCGATAGGAGGCGGGGAGGGTTCTTTATGTTGGGTAAATGAGAGCAGTTTCGTTTTGGAGGCATTAAAGTTTACAAGCCATTTCCTGTCTCAGACAACCATAGATTGGATGTCCATGAAATTCTTGCGGTTCAAGACATAGTCCCCAGTCGCAATGCTCATTTTTCCCGCTTCTTCTACTACATCTCCGACCCGTCCGAATTCGGAGAAGGAAAATCTCAGCCGCTCCTCAGTGGTCTCCATGGGAACGCTATGAAGCGGAATCTTGGTCTGCCTGGCACTCATATACTCCGTTTGAAGTCGTACCGATTTTATTGTCAATACGCTCCCTACCAACTTCTTCTCCTCCTCTACGTTCGCTAGCAGGATATCCCACATATCGTTCGATTTTTTTGGACAAGACCATTGGCATCATTTGGGGGCTCTTCAAAGCTTCCTCCATGGTATCCTTGCTGGCACCGATGAGGTCGGTGTGTCAGCAGGGAAACAGTCCTTGGCGCTATGGCGTCAAGGACCTCCGGGACTGTGACAAATTCGTTCATTTTTGTAAAGGGGGCTTATTTTTCCTGAAGAGCCCCGTAATCTGCGGGCATCTTTTTCTTGGGTTTGTTTGGGGCTCATGCCGAGAGCTCTGGTGGCGCTGAAGCAGTTTTTTGTAGGGGTGCCGTGCCCCCTCACACCGAACGACAACCCCCCCAAGAAAAGAAAAACAGAGAAAAGACATATGCAAAATAATAGGGAACAAAAACTCGATTAAGTCTGATTTCAATAATTTATTAACAGAACGCAAGAAGTAGCAATACAAGTAGGTACTCCAAACCTGGAGATAAGGTATTTTTTAAGATGTATCAGCGCTGATTGGAATTCTGAGAATATGGCCTTATAAATGATGAGTCTTGTTGCACAACGATATGGAGGACCCACTACCATACAATCTGGGTGGAATAACTGCAAAATTACCCTCCTCTCCAAATTTACAGATAAAAAATACAGATGCATGCTGGGATTTCTTCCTAGCTTTTGTGATATCAACAAACACTCGTTGCCACTTTTATAATGTCACCGAATACTTGTTGTCATTTTCGTAATGCTCATTGTAGTAGAGACTTTGTAATTGCAGATAAAACTATAGCACGCCGTTGAACAATACTGGTGTCAGACGCCTTCGAATAACACTCGCACTAATAGTACATGCTCGATAATACTCGCTCGGATAGTAACCACCGAATAGTGATCCATATAGAGAATACTGTATAGTTATCACTTAGACGCCACACTAATTCCCATATATGCATTACCTTTACCATCTACTTATTCAAACTGAGACCGCCTGTGTTAGCTCTCTGGTGATCTGTGTTCAAACTGCGGTGTCGACAGCGACACTTTATTCCTATATAGCACTAGCCAATAAGATAGGCCACTTCTTGGTCTCATCGAACTTAGTTCTGTTTTTTCTTGTTTTGAGGTCAGAACGCTGCGATCGCTTGTCTGTATCCCCTTTTTTATGTCAACACCATTCTTGTCTTATTACTGTTGCCTTGCCTTGCATATATTGCTTGCTCAATATTATTTTTGTCCTGTTCATTTCTTTCTCATGTTATTGCTTATTGCAAACTTTATCAAATCTGTTAGGCATTTCTGCCAATTATATTTGACCATGACAAATTACTCTACAAATGGTCTACGACAGTGTTACACTGTAACTCGTTCAAAGCTTTCAAATCTCTTCATTTCACTTGTTTAGGCTCCTTTAATGATTTTCCAGTGCGTCATTTCAAGCAGTCCTTCAACTAGGGTCCGTCCTGAAAATTCTCATATTTCCATCCAATTATTACCTTTTGTTAACATTTATGAGAGAAGTTGATCCTTCAAATTCCAACGTATAACCTCATTTCAAACATATTTTAGGCCACTCTGAATATCATAAATATATTGGAAATCTTGAAAACATTGAAAGCATCTCGTTGAAAACGTCTTTCATTGGTTGCCTTTGGAACTCTTTTCTTCTCCACGACCATTACGAGTCTCTCAAATTCCGTCAACTAATCACGCTCTCATTTCATTGTTTGCCTTTGGAACTCTTTTTCCTCCATCAAAACAATTACGAGTCTCTCAAACTCCGTCATCTAATCACGCTCTACTTTCGTTGGTTGCCTTTGGAACTCTTTTTTTTCCATCCCATTATGAGTCGTCATCAAAGTCATCCATTGGTTGCATTTGAACTCTTTTCTCCATCAAATTTATGGAGTCAAATTCGTCATCTAATCACGCTCTACTTTCGTTGGTTGCATTTGGAACTTTTTTTCTCCATCAAAGCCATTATGAGTCTCTCAAATTCCGTCATCTAATCACGCTCTACTTTCGTTGGTTGCTTTTGGAACTCTTTTCCCTCCATCAAAGCCATTATGAGTCTCTCAAATTCCGTCATCTAAACTTTCGTTGGTTGCCTTTGGAACTCTTTTCCCTCCATCAAAAGCCATTAATCACGTCATCTAATCACGCTCTTTCGTTGGTTGCCTTTGGAACTCTTTTCCCTCCATCAAAGCCATTATGAGTCTCTCAAATTCCGTCATCTAATCACGCTCTACTTTCGTTGGTTGCCTTTGGAACTCTTTTCTTTTTCAAAGGAGTCTCTTTTTCATCCTCCATCAAACTCTTTTCCCTCCATCAAAGCCCATTCTACTTTCGTTTGGTTTGCCTTTGAACTCTTTTCCCTCCATCAAAAATGGAGTCTCTCAAATTCATCTAATCACGCTCTACTTTCGTTGGTTGCCTTTGGAACTCTTTTCCCTCCATCAAAGCCATTATGAGTCTCTCAAATTCCGTCATCTAATCACGCTCTACTTTCGTTGGTTGCCTTTGGAACTCTTTTCCCTCCATCAAAGCCATTATTCTCTCAAATTCCGTCATCTAATCACGCTCTACTTTCGTTTGGTTCTTTTGAACTCCTCCATCAAAGCCATTATGAGTCTCTCAAATTCCGTCATCTAATCACGCTCTACTTTCGTTGGTTGCCTTTGGAACTCTTTTCCCTCCATCAAAGCCATTATGAGTCTCTCAAATTCCGTCATCTAATCACGCTCTACTTTCGTTGGTTGCCTTTGCTTTTTCCCTCCATTTGGAATTCCGTCATTAATCACGCTTCGTTGGTTGCCTTTGGAACTCTTTTTCCCCTCCATCAAAGCCATTATGAGTCTCTCTACTTTCGTTGGTTCACGCACTCTTTTCCCTCCATCAAAGCCATTATGAGTCTTCAAAAACTTTCGTTTTCCCTCCATCAAAGCCATTCAGTCTCTCAAATTCCGTCATCTAATCACGCTCTACTTTCGTTGGTTGCCTTTTTTCAAAGAATGAGTCTTTTCGTCATCTAATCCATCAAAGCTTTGGAACTTTTTTCCCTCCATCAAAGCCATTATGAGTCTCTCAAATTCCGTCATCTAATCACGAACTCTTTTCCCTTTCAAAGTTGGTTGTCATCTAATCACGCTCTACTTTCGTTGGTTGGAATTCTTTTCCCTCCATCAAAGCCATTTTCTCAAATTCCATCTAATCACGCTCTACTTTTCGTTGGTTGCCTTTGGAACTCTTTTCCCTCCATCAAAAATTCCGTCATCTAATCACGCTCTACTTTCGTTGGTTGCCTTTGGAACTCTTTTTCCCTCCATCAAAGCCATTATGAGTCTCTCAAATTCCGTCATCTAATCACGCTCTACTTTCGTTGGTTGCCTTTGGAACTCTTTTCCCTCCATCAAAGCCATTATGAGTCTCTCAAATTCCGTCATCTAATCACGCTCTACTTTCGTTGGTTGCCTTTGGAACTCTTTTCCCTCCATCAAAGCCATTATGAGTCTCTCAAATTCCGTCATCTAATCACGCTCTACTTTCGTTGGTTGCCTTTGGAACTCTTTTTCCGTCCATGGTTGAGTCTCTCAAATTCCGTCATCTAAACGCTCTACTTTCGTTGGTTGCCTTTGGAACCCTCCATCAAAGCCATTATGAGTCTCTCAAATTCCGTCATCTAATCACGCTCTACTTTCGTTGGTTGCCTTTGGAACTCTTTTCCCTCCATCAAAGCCATTATGAGTCTCTCAAATTCCGTCATCTAATCACGCTCTACTTTCGTTGGTAGCCTTTGGAACTCTTTTCCCTCCATCAAAGCCATTATAAGTCTCTCAAATTCTGTCATCTAATCTCTAATTCCTTTGGAACTCTTTTCCCATCCATCAGCCATTAATCAAATCAAATCATCAATCACGCTCTACTTTCGTTGGTTGCCTTTGGAACTCTTTTTCCCTCCATCAAAGCCATTATGAGTCTCTCAAATTCCGTCATCTAATCACGCTCTACTTTCGTTGGTTGCCTTTGGAACTCTTTTCCCTCCATCAAAGCCATTATAAGTCTCTCAAATTCTGTCATCTAATCAAGCTCTACTTTCGTTGGTTGCCTTTGGAACTCTTTTCCCTCCATCAAAGCCATTATGAGTCTCAAATTCCGTCATCTAATCACGCTCTACTTTCGTTGGTTGCCTTTGGAACTCTTTTCCCTCCATCAAAGCCATTATGAGTCTCTCAAATTCTGTCATCATCTAATCACGCTCTACTTTCTCCATTTTGGTTGCCTTTGGAACTCTTTTCCCTCCATCAAAGCCATTATGAGTCTCTCAAATTCCGTCATCTAATCACGCTCTACTTTCGTTGGTTTGCCTTTGGAACTCTTTTTCCTCCATCAAAGCCACTCTTATTATGAGTCTCTCAAATTCCGTCATCTAATCACGCTCTACTTTCGTTGGTTGCCTTTGGAACTCTTTTCCCTCCATCAAAGCCATTATGAGTCTCTCAAATTCCGTCATCTAATCACGCTCTACTTTCGTTGGTTGCCTTTGGAACTTTTTCCCTCTATCAAAGCCAGTATGAGTCTCTCAAATTCCGTCATCTAATCACGCTCTACTTTCGTTGGTTGCCTTTGGAACTCTTTTCCCTCCATCAAAGCCATTATGAGTCTCTCAAATTCTGTCATCTAATCACGCTCTACTTTCGTTGGTTGCCTTTGGAACTCTTTTCCCTCCATCAAAGCCATTATGAGTCTCTCAAATTCCGTCATCTAATCACGCTCTACTTTCGTTGGTTGCCTTTGGAACTCTTTTCCTCCATCAAAGCCATTATGAGTCTCTCTAATTCCGTCATCTAATCACGCTCTACTTTCGTTGGTTGCCTTTGGAACTCTTTTCCCTCCATCAAATGAGCCATAATCACGTCTTTCTCAAATCAAAGCCATTATGAGTCTCTCAAATTCCGTCAATCACGCTCTACTTTCGTTGGTTGCCTTTGAACTCTTTTCCCTCCATCAAAGCCATTATGAGTCTCTCAAATTCGTCATCTAATCACGCTCTACTTTCGTTGGTTGCCTTTGGAACTCATTTTTCCTCCATCAAAGCCATTATGAGTCTCTCAAATTCAATCATCTAATCACGCTCTACTTTCGTTGGTTGCCTTTGGAACTCTTTTCCCTCCATCAAAGCCATTATGAGTCTCTCAAATTCCGTCATCTAATCACGCTCTACTTTCGTTGGTTGCCTTTGGAACTCTTTTTCCTCCATCATTATGAGTCTCTCAAATTCCGTCATCTAATCACGCTCTACTTTCGTTGGTTGCCTTTGGAACTCTTTTTCCCTCCATCAAAGCCATTATGAGTCTCTCAAATTCCGTCATCTAATCACGCTCTACTTTCGTTGGTTGCCTTTGGAACTCTTTTCCTCTCCATCAAAGCCATTATGAGTCTCTCAAATTCCGTCATCTAATCACGCTCTACTTTCGTTGGTTGCCTTTGGAACTCTTTCCCTCCATCAAGCCATTATGAGTCTCTCAAATTCCGTCATCTAATCACGCTCAAATTACTTTCGTTGGTTGCCTTTGAACTCTTTTCCCTCCATCAAAGCCATTATGAGTCTCTCAAATTCCGTCATCTAATCACGCTCTACTTTCGTTGGTTGCCTTTGGAACTCTTTTCCCTCCATCAAAGCCATTATGAGTCTCTCAAATTCCGTCATCTAATCACGCTCTACTTTCGTTGGTTGCGTCTTTGGAACTCTTTTCCCTCCATCAAAGCCATTATGAGTCTCTCAAATTCTGTCATCTAATCACGCTCTACTTTGGAACTTTTTCCCTCCATCAAAGCCATTATGAGTCTCTCAAATTCCGTCATCTAATCACGCTCTACTTTCGTTGGTTTGCCTTTGGAACTCTTTTCCCTCCATCAAAGCCATTATGAGTCTCTCAAATTCCGTCATCTAATCACGCTCTACTTTCGTTGGTTGCCTTTGGAACTCTTTTCCCTCCATCAAAGCCATTATGAGTCTCTCAAATTCCGTCATCTAATCACGCTCTACTTTCGTTGGTTGCCTTTGGAACTCTTTTCCCTCCATCAAAGCCATTATGAGTCTCTCAAATTCCGTCATCTAATCACGCTCTACTTTCGTTGGTTGCCTTTGGAACTCTTTTCCCTCCATCAAAGCCATTATGAGTCTCTCAAATTCCGTCATCTAATCACGCTCTACTTTCGTTGGTTGCCTTTGGAACTCTTTTTCCCTCCATCAAAGCCATTATGAGTCTCTCAAATTCCGTCATCTAATCACGCTCTACTTTCGTTGGTTGCCTTTGGAACTCTTTTCCCTCCATCAAAGCCATTATGAGTCTCTCAAATTCCGTCATCTAATCACGCTCTACTTTCGTTGGTTGCCTTTGGAACTCTTTTCCCTCCATCAAAGCCAAAGTCTCTCAAATTCCGTCATCTAATGAGAACTCTTTTCCCTCCATCAAAAATCTCCGTCATCTAATCACGCTCTACTTTCGTTGGTTGCCTTTGGAACTCTTTCCCTCCATCAAAGCCATTATGAGTCTCTCAAATTCCGTCATCTAATCACGCTCTAAACTCTTTTCCCTCCATCAAAGCCATTATGAGTCTCTCAAATTCCGTCATCTAATCACGCTCTACTTTCGTTGGTTTGCCTTTGGAACTCTTTTTCCTCCATCAAAAGACATTATGAGTCTCTCAAATTCCGTCATCTAATCACGCTCTACTTTCGTTGGTTGCCTTTGAACTCTTTTTCCCTCCATCAAAGCCATTATGAGTCTCTCAAATTCTCATCAAAGCCTTTCGTTGGTTTAAATTCCGTCATCTAATCACGCTCTACTTTCGTTGGTTGCCTTTGGAACTCTTTTCCCTCCATCAAAGCCATTATGAGTCTCTCAAATTCCGTCATCTAATCACGCTCTACTTTCGTTGGTTGCCTTTGGAACTCTTTTCCCTCCATCAAAGCCATTATGAGTCTCTCAAATTCCGTCATCTAATCACGCTCTACTTTCGTTGGTTGCCTTTGGAACTCTTTTCCCCTCCATCAAAGCCATTATGAGTCTCTCAAATTCCGTCATCTAATCACGCTCTACTTTCGTTGGTTTGCCTTTGGAACTCTTTTCCCTCCATCAAAGCCATTATGAGTCTCTCAAATTCCGTCATCTAATCACGCTCTACTTTCGTTGGTTGCCTTTGGAACTCTTTTTCCCTCCATCAAAGCCATTATGAGTCTCTCAAATTCCGTCATCTAATCACGCTCTACTTTCGTTGGTTGCCTTTGGAACTCTTTTCCCTCCATCAAAGCCATTATTCAAATTCGTCATCTAATCACGCTCTACTTTCGTTGGTTGCCACTCTTTTCCCTCCATCAAAGCTCTCAAATTCCGTCATCTAATCACGCTCTACTTTCGTTGGTTGAGAACTCTTTTCCCTCCATCAAAAATTCTCGTCATCGTCATCTAATCGCTCTACTTTCGTTGGTTTGCCTTTGGAACTCTTTTCCCTCCATCAAAGCCATTATGAGTCTCTCAAATTCCGTCATCTAATCACGCTCTACTTTCGTTGGTTGCCTTTGGAACTCTTTTCCCTCCATCAAAGCCATTATGAGTCTCTCAAATTCCGTCATCTAATCACGCTCTACTTTCGTTTGGTTGGAACTCTTTTCCCTCCATCAAAGCCATTATGAGTCTCTCAAATTCCGTCATCTAATCACGCTCTACTTTCGTTGGTTGCCTTTGGAACTCTTTTCCTCCATCAAAGCCATTATGAGTCTCTCAAATTCCGTCATCTAATCACGCTCTACTTTCGTTGGTTGCCTTTGGAACTCTTTTCCCTCCATCAAAAGTCTCTCAAATTCTGTCATCTAATCACGCTCTACTTTCTCAAAGCCATTATGAGTCTCTCAAATTCCGTCATCTAATCACGCTCTACTTGGTTGGTTTTGGAACTCTTTTCCCTCCATCAAAAAGTCTCTCAAATTCCCATTATCACGCTCTACTTTCGTTGGTTGCCTTTGAAGTCTTTTTCTCCTCAAATTCCGTCATCTAATCACGCTCTACTTTCGTTGGTTGCCTTTGGAACTCTTTTCCCTCCATCAAAGCCATTATGAGTCTCTCAAATTCCGTCATCTAATCACGCTCTACTTTCGTTGGTTGCCTTTGGAACTCTTTTCCCTCCATCAAAGCCATTATGAGTCTCTCAAATTCCGTCATCTAATCACGCTCTACTTTCGTTGGTTGCCTTTGGAACTCTTTTCCCTCCATCAAAGCCATTATGAGTCTCTCAAATTCCGTCATCTAATCACGCTCTACTTTTTCGTTGGTTGCCTTTGGAACTCTTTTTTCCCTCCATCAAAGCCATTATGAGTCTCTCAAATTCCGTCATCTAATCACGCTCTACTTTCGTTGGTTGCCTTTGGAACTCTTTTCCCTCCATCAAAGCCATTATGAGTCTCTCAAATTCCGTCATCTAATCACGCTCTACTTTCGTTGGTTGCCTTTTGAACTCTTTTCCCTCCATCAAAGCCATTATGAGTCTCTCAAATTCCGTCATCTAATCACGCTCATCACTTTCGTTGGTTGCCTTTGGAACTCTTTTCCCTCCATCAAAGCCATTATGTCTCTCAAATTCCGTCATCTAATCACGCTCTACTTTCGTTGGTTGCCTTTGGAACTCTTTTCCCTCCATCAAAGCCATTATGAGTCTCTCAAATTCCGTCATCTAATCACGCTCTACTTTCGTTGGTTGCCTTTGGAACTCTTTTTCCTCCATCAAAGCCATTATGAGTCTCTCAAATTCCGTCATCTAATCACGCTCTACTTTCGTTGGTTGCCTTTGGAACTCTTTTCCCTCCATCAAAGCCATTATGAGTCTCTCAAATTCCGTCATCTAATCACGCTCTACTTTCTTTTGGTTGCCTTTGGAACTCTTTTTCCCTCCATCAAAGCCATTATGAGTCTCTCAAATTCCGTCATCTAATCACGCTCTACTTTCGTTGGTTGCCTTTGGAACTCTTTTCCCTCCATCAAAGCCATTATGAGTCTCTCAAATTCCGTCATCTAATCAAATTGCCTTTGGAACTTTTTTTCCTCCATCAAAGCCATTATGAGTCTCTCAAATTCCGTCATCTAATCACGCTCTACTTTCGTTGGTTGCCTTTGGAACTCTTTTTTTCCCTCCATCAAAGCCATTTTTCCAAATTCGTCATCTAATCACGCTCCACTTTCGTTGGTTGCCTTTGAACTCTTTTTTCCATCCCTCCTCATTAAATTCCGTCATCTAATCACGCTCTACTTTCGTTGGTTGCCTTTGGAACTCTTTTTCCCTCCATCAAAGCCATTATGAGTCTCTCAAATTCTGTCATCTAATCACGCTCTACTTTCGTTGGTTGCCTTTGGAACTCGTTTTTCCCTTTCCATCAAAGCCATTATGAGTCTCTCAAATTCCGTCATCTAATCACGCTCTACTTTCGTTGGTTGCCTTTGGAACTCTTTTCCCTCCATCCATCAAAGCCGTCATTAATGCTCTAGAACTCTTTTCCCTCATCAAATTGAGTCTCATCTCATCTAACGCTCTACTTTCGTTGTTTGCCTTTGGAACTCTTTTCCCCTCCATCAAAGCCTTTGGAACTCTTTTCCATGAGTCTCTCAAATTCCGTCATCTAATCACGCTCTACTTTCGTTGGTTGCCTTTGGAACTCTTTTCCCTCCATCAAAGCCATTATGAGTCTCAAATTCCGTCATCTAATCACGCTCTACTTTCGTTGGTTGCCTTTGGAACTTTTTTCCTCCATCAAAGCCATTATGAGTCTCTCAAATTCCGTCATCTAATCACGCTCTACTTTCGTTGGTTGCCTTTGGAACTCTTTTCCCTCCATCAAAGCCATTATGAGTCTCAAATTCCGTCATCTAATCACGCTCTACTTTCGTTGGTTGCCTTTGGAACTCTTTCCCTCCATCAAAGCCATTATGAGAGTCATCTAATCACGCTCTAACTTTCGTTGGTTCCTTTGGAACTCTTTTTCCCTCCATCATTATGAATCAAATTCGTCATCTAATCACGCTCTACTTTCGTTGGTTGCCTTTGGAACTCTTTTCCCTCCATCAAAGCCATTATGAGTCTCTCAAATTCCGTCTATCGTTTAGTTTAATCACGCTCACTTTCGTTGGTTTGCCTTTGGAACCTTTTTTCCCTCCATCAAAGCCATTATGAGTCTCTCAAATTCCGTCATCTAATCACGCTCTCTTTCGTTGGTTGCCTTTGGAACTCTTTTCCCTCCATCAAAGCCATTATGAGTCTCTCAAATTCCGTCATCTAATCACGCTCTACTTTCGTTGGTTGTGTCATCTATTCCGTCATCTAATCACGCTCTACTTTCGTTGGTTGCCTTTGGAACTCTTTTCCCTCCATCAAAGCCATTATGAGTCTCTCAAATTCCGTCATCTAATCACGCTCTACTTTCGTTGGTTGCCTTTGGAACTCTTTTCCCCTCCATCAAAGCCATTATGAGTCTCTCAAATTCCGTCATCTAATCACGCTCTACTTTCGTTGGTTGCCTTTGGAACATCATCTAATCACGCTCTACTTTCGTTGGTTGCCTTTGAACTCTTTCCTCCAAAATCAGTCTCTCAAATTCCGTCATCTAATCACGCACTTTTTGGTTGCCTTTTCTTTTCCTGAGTCTCTCAAATTCCGTCATCTAATCACGCTCTACTTTCGTTGGTTGCCTTTGGAACTCTTTCCTCCATCAAAGCCATTATGAGTCTCTCAAATTCCGTCATCTAATCACGCTCTACTTTCTTTTGGTTGCCTTTGGAATTCTTTTCCCTCCATCAAAGCCATTATGAGTCTCTCAAATTCCGTCATCTAATCACGCTCTACTTTCGTTGGTTGCCTTTGGAACTCTTTTTCCCTCCATCAAATATAGTCTCTCAAATTCAATCATCTAATCACGCTCTACTTTCGTTGGTTGCCTTTGGAACTCTTTTCCCTCCAAATCAAGCCACTTTCGTTGGTTGCCTTTGGAACTCTTTTTTTCTCCTCAAATTCTCTCAAATTTCGTCATCTAATCACGCTCTACTTTCGTTGGTTGCCTTTGGAACTCTTTTCCTCCATCAAAGCCATTATGAGTCTCTCAAATTCCGTCATCTAATCACGCTCTACTTTCGTTGGTTGCCTTTGGAACTCTTTTCCCCTCCATCAAAGCCATTATGAGTCTCTCAAATTCCGTCATCTAATCACGCTCTACTTTCGTTGGTTGCCTTTGGAACTCTTTTCCCCTCCATCAAAGCCATTATGAGTCTCTCAAATTCCGTCATCTAATCACGCTCTACTTTCGTTGGTTGCCTTTGGAACTCTTTTCCCTCCATCAAAGCCATTATGAGTCTCTCAAATTCCGTCATCTAATCACGCTCTACTTTCGTTGGTTGCCTTTGGAACTCTTTTCCCTCCATCAAAGCCATTATGGTCTCTCAAATTTCATCTAATCGCTCTACTTTTCGTTGGTTGCCTTTGGAACTCTTTTCCCTCCATCAAAGCCATTATGAGTCTCTCAAATTCCGTCATCTAATCACGCTCTACTTTCGTTGGTTGTTTTTTGGAACTTTTTTTTCCCTCCATCAAAGCCATTATGAGTCTCAAATTCCGTCATCTAATCACGCTCTACTTTCGTTGGTTGCCTTTGAACTTTTTCCCCTCCATCAAAGCCATTATGAGTCTCTCAAATTCCGTCATCTAATCACGCTCTACTTTCGTTGGTTGCCTTTGGAACTCTTTTTCCCTCCATCAAAGCCATTATGAGTCTCTCAAATTCCGTCATCTAATCACGCTCTACTTTCGTTGGTTGCCTTTGGAACTCTTTTCCCTCCATCAAAGCCATTATGAGTCTCTCAAATTCCGTCATCTAATCACGAACTCTTTCCCTCCATCGCCATTATGGTCTCAAATTCCGTCATCTAATCACGCTCTACTCGTTGGTTGCCTTTTTTTCCTCCATCAAAGCCATTTGGTCATCTAATCACTCTACTTTCGTTGGTTTGCCTTTTGAACTCTTTTTCAAAGCCATTATGAGTCTCCATCATCTAATCGCTCTACTTTCGTTGGTTGCCTTTTGAGTCTCTCAAATTCCGTCATCTAATCCTCTACTTTCGTTGTTTGCCTTTTGGAACTCTTTTTCAAAGCCCTCAAATCAATCAGCCATTTTGGAGAACTCTTTTCTCATCACCAATTCTCGTCATCTAATCACGCTCTACTTTCGTTCGTTGCCTTTGGAACTCTTTTTTTTCCTCCATCAAAGCCATTATGAGTCTCTCAAATTCCGTCATCTAATCACGCTCTACTTTCGTTGGTTGCCTTGAACTCTTTTCCTCCATCAAACCATTAAGTCTCTCAAATTCCGTCATCTAATCACGCTCTACTTTCTTTGGTTGCCTTTGGAACTCTTTTCCCTCCATCAAAGCCATTATCATTATGAGTCTCTCAAATTCGTCATCTAATCACTCTACTTTCGTTGGTTGCCTTTGGAACTCTTTTCTCCATCAAAGCCATTATGAGTCTCTCAAATTCCGTCATCTAATCACGCTCATCAAAGCCTTTCGTTGGTTGCATTTTGGAACTCTTTTTCCCTCCATCAAAGCCATTATGAGTCTCTCAAATTCCGTCATCTAATCACGCTCTACTTTTCGTTGGTTGCCTTTGAAACTCTTTTTCCCATTATGAGTCTCCAAATTCCGTCATCTAATCTTGCTCTACTTTCGTTGGTTGCCTTTGGAGACTCTCCTCATGAGTCTCTCAAATTCCGTCATCTAATCAAGCTCTACTTTCGTTGGTTGCCTTTGGAACTCTTTTCCTCCATCAAAGCCATTATGAGTCTCTCAAATTCCGTCATCTAATCACGCTACTAATTTCGTTGGTTGCCTTTTGAACTCTTTTTTCCTCCATCTTTTCCCAAATTCCATCAAAGCCTACTTTCGTTGGTTGCCTTGAAGTCTTTTTCTCCATCAAATTCCGTCATCTAATCAAACGCTCTACTTTCGTTGGTTGCCTTTGAACTCTTTTTCCTCCATCAAATTCCGTCATCTAATCACGCTTACTTTCGTTAGTTGCCTTTTGAACTCTTTCCTCCATCCAAATTCCTGTCATCTAATCACGCTCTACTTTTCGTTGGTTGCTTTTGAACTCTTTTCCCTCCATCAAAGCCATTATGAGTCTCAAATTCCGTCATCTAATCACGCTCTACTTTCGTTGGTTGCCTTTGAACTCTTTTCCCTCCATCAAAGCCATTATGAGTCTCTCAAATTCCGTCATCTAATCACGCTCTACTTTCGTTGGTTGCCTTTTGAACCTTTTTCCTCCATCAAAGCCATTATGAGTTCTCCTCCGTCATCTAAACGCTCACTTTCGTTGGTTGCCTTTGAAACTCTTTTTCCATGAGTCTCTCAAATTCGTCATCTAATCACGCTCTACTTTCGTTGGTTGCCTTTGGAACTCTTTTCCCTCCATCAAAGCCATTATGAGTCTCTCAAATTCTGTGTCATCTAATCACGCTATGAGTCTTTCGTTCCGTCATCTAATCACGCTACTTTCGTTGGTTGCCTTTGAACTTTTTCCCTCCATCAAAGACATTATGAGTCTCTCAAATTCGTCATCTAATCACGCTCTACTTTCCCTTTTCCATCCATCAGCCATTATTATGTCTCTCAAATTCCGTCATCTAATCACGCTCTACTTTCGTTGGTTGCCTTTGGAACTCTTTTCCTCCATCAAAAGCCATTATGAGTCCTCAAATTCCGTCATCTAATCACGCTCTACTTTCGTTGGTTGCCTTTGAACTCTTTTCCTCCATCAAAGCCATTATGAGTCTCTCAAATTCCGTCATCTAATCACGCTCTACTTTCGTTGGTTGCCTTTGAACTCTTTTCCCTCCATCAAGCCATTATGAGTCTCTCAAATTCCGTCATCTAATCACGCTCTACTTTCGTTGGTTGCCCTTTGGAACTCTTTTCCTCCTCTCAAATCATCTAAACTTTCGTTGTTGCCACTCTTTTTTTCCCTCCATCAAAGCCATTATGTCTCTCAAATTCCGTCATCTAATCACGCCTTTTGGAACTCTTTTTTCGTTGAGTCTCTCAAATTCCGTCATATTTGCCTTTTGAACCTTTTTCCCTCCATCAAAGCCATTATGAGTCTCTCAAATTCCGTCATCAGTAATCAGGGTCCGTCATCTCTACTTTCGTTTCGAACTCTTTTCCTTCCGTCAAAGTTTGCCTTTTGAACTTTTTTTTCCCTTTCCATCAAAGCCATTATGAGTCTCTCAAATTCGTCATCTAATCACGCTCTACTTTCGTTGGTTGCCTTTTGAACCTTTTTTTCCTCCATCAAAGCCATTATGAGTCTCCTCAAACATCTAATTTCTTTCGTTGGTTGCCTTGAACTCTTTTTCCCTCCATCAAAGCCATTATGAGTCTCTCAAATTCCGTCATCTAATCACGCTTCCACTTTCGTTGGTTGCCTTTGGAACTCTTTTCCTCCATCAAAGCCATTATGAGTCTCTCAAATTCCGTCATCTAATCACGCTCTGACTGAATTTGGTTGCCTTTGGAACTTTCTTTTTTCCCTCCATCAAAGCCATTATGAGTCTCTCAAATTCCGTCATCTAATCACGCTCTACTTTCGTTGGTTGCCTTTGGAACTCTTTTTTCCTCCATCAAAGCCATGAGTCTCTCAAATTCCGTCATCTAATCACGCTCTCTACTTTCGTTTGGTTGCCTTTAGAACTCTTTTTCCTCCATCAAAGCCATTATAGTCTCTCAAATTCCGTCATCTAATCACGCTCTACTTTCGTTGGTTGCCTTTGGAACTCTTTCCCTCCATCAAAGCTTATTATGAGTCTCTCAAATTCCGTCATCTAATCACGCTCTACTTTCTTTGTTCAAAGCCATTTGCCTTTGGAACTCTTTTCCCTCCATCAAAGCCATTATGAGTCTCTCAAATTCTGTCATCTAATCACGCTCTACTTTCGTTGGTTGCCTTTCGAACTCTTTTCCCTCCATCAAAGCCATTGTGAGTCTCTCAAATTCCGTCATCTAATCACGCTCTACTTTCGTTGGTCATTTTTGGAACTCTTTTTCCTCCATCAAAGCCATTATGAGTCTCTCAAATTCCGCCTTTACTTTCATCTCGAATCACGCTCTCAAATTCCGTCATTTCGTTGGTTGCCTTTGGAACTTTTTTCCCTCCATCAAAAGCCATTATGAGTTCTCTAAACCCGTCATCTAATCACGCTCTACTTTCGTTGGTTGCCTTTTTTTGGAACTCTTTTTTGTCCTCCATCAAAACCATTCAAAGCCATTATGAGTCTCTCAAATTCCCGATGTCTAATCACGCTCTACTTTTCGTTGGTTGTTTTTGGAACTTTTTTTTCCCTCCATCAAAGCCATTATGAGTCTCTCAAATTCCGTCATCGTTAATCACGCTCTTTTTTCGTTGGTTGCCTTTCGTCATCAATCACTACTTTTTTCCCTCCATCAAAGCCATTATGAGTCGTCATCAATCATTCTGTTCTTTTGGAACTTTTTTCTCCATATTATCAAATTCGGGTCATCTAATCACGTTTACTTTCGTTGGTTGCCTTTTGGAACTCTTTTTTCTCCATCAAAGCCATTATGAGTCTCTCAAATTCCGTCATCTAATCACGCTCTACTTTCGTTGTTTTGCCTTTTGAACTTTTTTTTTTTCCTCCATCAAATCATTATGATTCTCTCAAATTCCGTCATCTAATCACGCTCTAATTTCGTTGGTTGCTCTTGGAACTCTTTTCCCTCCATCAAATGAGCAAATTTGTCATCTAATGTTTCTAGTCGAGTCTCAAATTCCGTCATTTAATCACGCTCTACTTTCGTTGGTTGCCTTTCGAACTCTTTTCTCCATCAAAAGGCATTATTATGTCTCTCAAATTCGTCATCTAATCACGCTCTACTTTCGTTGGTTGCCTTGAACTCTTTTCCCTTCCATCAAAGCCAGTATGAGGTCTCAAATTCTGTCATCTTAATCACGCTCTACTTTCGTTGTGAATCCTTTTTCCTCCATCATTTTGAGCTCAAATTTGGAACTCTTTTCCCTCCATCAAGCATTGAGTCTCTCAAATTCCGTCATCTAATCACGCTCTAGTTCGTTGGTTGCCTTTGGAACTCTTTTCTCCTCCATCAAAGCCATTATGAGTCTCTCAAATTCCCGTCATCTAATCACGCTCTACTTTCGTTGGTTGCCTTTTGAACTCTTTTTTTCCTCCATCAAAGCCATTATGAGTCTCTCAAATTCCGTCATCTAATCACGCTCTACTTTCGTTGGTTTGCCTTTGGAACTCTTTTCCCTCCATCAAAGCCATTATGAGTCTCTCAAATTCCGTCATCTAATCACGCTCTACTTTCGTTGGTTGCCCTTTGAAATTTTTCCTCCATCAAAGCCATTATGAGTCTCTCAAATTGTCATCTAATCACGCTCTACTTTCGTTGGTTGCCTTTGGAACTCTTTTTCCCTCCATCAAAGCCATTAAGAGTCTCTCAAATTCCGTTATCTAATCCTCTACTTTTCGTTGGTTGCCTTTGGAACTCTTTTCCCTCCATCAAAAGCCATTATGAGTCTCTCAAATTCTGTCATCTAATCACGCTCTACTTTCGTTGGTTGCCTTTTGAACTCTTTTTCCTCCATCAAAGCCATTATGAGTCTCTCAAAATTCGTCATCTAATCACGCTCTACTTTCGTTGGTTTGCCTTTTGGAACTTTTTCCCTCCATCAAAAGCCATTATGAGTCTCTCAAATTCCGTCATCTAATCACGCTCTACTTTCGTTGGTTGCCTTTTGGAACTCTTTTCCTCCATCAAAGCCGTTAGAGTCTCTCAAATTCCGTCATCTAATCACTCTGCTTCCGTTGGTTGCCTTTGGAACTCTTTCCCTCCATCAAAGCCATTATGAGTCTCTCAAATTCTGTCATCTAATCACGCCTCTGCTTTCGTTGGTTGCCTTCGAACTCTTTTTTTCCCTCCATCAAAGCCATTATGAGTCTCTCAAATTCCGTCATCTAATCAAGCTCTCTACTTTCGTTGGTTGCTGGAACTCTTTTCCCTCCATCAAGCCATTATGAGTCTCTCAAATTCCGTCATCTAATCATTGCTCTACTTTCGTTGGTTGCCTTTGAACTCTTTTCCTCCATCAAAGCCATTATGAGTCTCTCAATTTCATTCACGTTTACTTTCGTTCATCTCCTCCACAAAGCTATGACTTTTTCGTTGGTTGCCTTTGGTTGCCTGAACTTTTCCCTCCATCAAAGCCGTTATGAGTCTCTCCGTTCCGTCATCTAATCACGCTCTACTTTCGTTTTTTGCCTTTGGAACTTTTTCCCTCCATCAAAGCCATTATGTCTCTCAAATTCCGTCATCTAATCACGCTCTACTTTCGTTGGTTGCCTTTGAACTTTTTTTCCTCCATCAAAGCCATTATGATTTCTCAAATTTGTCATCTAATCACGCTCTACTTTGTTGGTTTTTGGAACTCTTTTTCCTCCATCAAAGCCGTATGAGTCTCTCAAATTCGTCATATAATCACGCTCTACTTTCTGTTGGTTGCCTTCGAACTTTTCCTCCATCAAAGCCATTATGAGTCTCTCACCTGTCTCATCAATTGTTGGTTCCGTCATCTAATCTAAATTCCGTCATCTAATCACTACTTTCGTTGGTTGCCTTTAAACTCTTTCCCTCCATCAAAGCCATTATGAGTCTCTCAAATTCATCTAATCACGTTTCATCTAATTTTTTCCGCATCTACTTTCGTTGGTTGCATCTAATTGGAACTCTTTTTCTGCCTTTGAACTTTTCTCCATCAAAGCCATTATGAGTCTCTCAAATTCCGTCATCTAATCCGCTCTACTTTCGTTGGTTGCTTTTGGAACTCTTTTCCCTCCATTATGAGTCTCTCAAATTCCGTCATCTAGCCATTTTGGCACTCTTTTTCCTCCTCAATGATTCCGTCATCTAATCACGCTCTACTTTCGTTGGTTGCCTTGGAACTTTTTCCCTCCATAAACCATTATGAGTCTCTCAAATTCTGTCATCTAATCACGCTTCTACTTTCGTTGGTTGCCTTTGAACTCTTTTTCCTTCCATCAAAGCCATTATGAGTCTCTCAAATTCCGTCATCTAATCACGCTTCTACTTTCGTTGGTTGCCTTTAACTCTTTTCCCCATCAAAACCATTATGAGTCTCTCAAATTCCGTCATCTAATCACGCTCTAACAATTTCGTTGGTTGCCTTTGAACTCTTTTCCTCCATCAAAGCCATTATGGAGTCTCTCTAAATTCCGTCATCTAATCACGCTCTACTTTCGTTGGTTGCCTTTAAACTCTTTTCCCTCCATCAAAGCCATTATGAGTCTCTCAAATTCCGTCATATAATCACGCTCTACTTTCTGTTGGTTGCTGGAACTCTTTCCCTCCATCAAAGCCAGTATGAGTCTCTCTCAAATTCTGTCATCTAATCACGCTCTACTTTCGTTGGTTGCCTTTGGAACTTTTTCCCTCCATCAAAGCCATTGAGTCTCTCAAATTCTGTCATCTAATCACGCTCAATTTCGTTAGTTTGCCTTTTGAACTTTTTCCATCCGTCAAAGCCATTATGAGTCTCTCAATTTCTGTCATCTAATCACGCTCTACTTTCGTTTGTTTGCCTTTGGAACTCTTTTCCCCTCCATCCATCATTATGAGTCTCTCAATTCCGTCACCTAATCACTCTACTTTCGTTGGTTTGAACCTTTTTTCCTCCATCTTTCCCTCCGTCATCTAATCACGCCATTATGAACTTTTTCCTCCATCAAAGCCATATTATGAGTCTCAAATTCCGTCATCTAATCACGCTCTACTTTCGTTGGTTGCCTTTCGACTCTTTTCCTCCATCAAAGCCGTATGGTCTCTCAAATTCCGTCATCTAATCACGCTCTACTTTCGTTGGTTGCCTTTGGTACTCACTTTTCCCCTCCATCAAAGCCATTATGGTCTCTCAAATTCGTTATCTGTCACGCCTACTTTCGTTGGTTGCCTTTGAACTCTTTTCCTCCATCAAAGCCTCCATCAAAGCCATTATGAGTCTCTTTCAAATCAAAGCCGTTATGGAGTCTCTCCGTCATCTAATCACGCTCTACTTTCGTTGGTTGCCTTTGGAACTTTTTCCCTCCATCAAAGCCATTATGAGTCTCTCAAATTCCGTCATCTAATCACGCTCTCTACTTTCGTTGGTTGCCTTTGGAACTCTTTTCCCCTCCATCAAAGCCATTTCGTTGGTTTATGAGTCTCTCAAATTCCGTCATCTAATCACGCTTACTTTCGTTGGTTGCCTTTGGAACTCTTTTCCCTCCATCAAAAGCCATTATGATCTCTCAAATTCCGTCATCTAATCACGCTCTACTTTCGTTGGTTGCCTTTGGAACTCTTTTCCCCTCCATCAAAGCCATTATGAGTCTCTCAAATTCCGTCATCTAATCACGCTCTACTTTCGTTTTTGGTTGCCATTTGGAACTCTTTTTTCCCTCCATCAAAGCCATTATGAGTCTCTCAAATTCCGTCATCTAATCACGCTCTACTTTCTTTTGGTTGCCTTTGAACTCTTTTTCCTCCCATCTTCCATGAGTCTCTCAAATTCCGTCATCTAATCACGCTACTTTCGTTGGTTTTGCCTTTGGAACTCTTTTCCCTCCATCAAAGCCATTATGAGTCTCTCAAATTCCGTCATCTAATCACGCTCTACTTTCGTTGGTTGCCTTTGGAACTCTTTTCCCTCCATCAAAGCCATTATGAGTCCTCAAATTCGTCATCTAATCTCTATTGTTGGTTCCGTCATCTAATCAAAGCCTCTGAGTCTCTCAAATTTGTCATCTAATGCCTTTGGAACTGGTGCTCTTTTCCCTCCATCAAAGCCATTATGAGTCTCTCAAATTCCGTCATCTAATCACGCTCTACTTTCGTTGGTTGCCTTTGGAACTCTTTTCCCTCCATCAAAGCCATTATGAGTCTCTCAAATTCCGTCATCTAATCACGCTCTACTTTCGTTGGTTGCCTTTGGAACTCTTTTCCCTCCATCAAAAGCCATTATGGAGTTCTCTCAAATTCCGTCATCTAATCAAGCTCTACTTTCGTTGGTTGCCTTTGGAACTCTTTTCCCTCCATCAAAGCCATTATGAGTCTCTCAAATTCGATCATCTAATCACGCTCTACTTTCTTTTGGTTTGATTGGAACTCTTTTTCCCTCCATCAAAGCCATTAATTCTCAAATTCCGTCATCTAATCACGCTCTACTTTCGTTGGTTGCCTTTGGAACTCTTTTTCCCTCCATCAAAGCCATTATGAGTCTCTCAAATTCCGTCATCTAATCACGCTCTCTACTTTCGTTGGTTGCCCTTTGGAACTCTTTTCCCTCCATCAAAGCCATTCTCAAGTCTCTCAAATTCCGTCATCTAATCAAGCTCTATTCCGTCGTCTTTCTTTTTGGTTGCCTTTGGAACTCTTTTCCCTCCATCAAACCCATTATGAGTCTCTCAAATTCCGTCATCTAATCACGCTCTACTTTCGTTGTTTGCCTTTGAATCTTTTCCCTCCATCTTTCCCCAAATTCCAAAGCCACTCTTTTTTGCGAGTCTCTCAAATTCCGTCATCTAATCAAGCTCTACTTTCGTTGGTTGCCTTTTGAACTTTTTTCCCTCCATCAAAGCCATTATGGTCTCTCAAATTCAAATCATCTAATCACGCTCTACTTTCGTTGGTTGCCTTTTGGAACTCTTTTTCCTCCATCAAAGCCATTATGAGTCTCTCAAATTCCGTCATCTAATCACGCTCTACTTTCGTTGGTTGCCTTTGGAACTCTTTCGCTCCATCAAAGCCATTATGAGTCTCTCAAATTCCGTCATCTAATCGCTCTACTTTCGTTGGTTGCCTTTGGACTCTTTTCCCTCCATCAAAGCCATTATGAGTCTCTCAAATTCCGTCATCTAATCACGCTCTACTTTTTCGTTGGTTGCCCTTTGGAACTCTTTTCCATCCCATTATGAGTCCATCAAAGCTTCACTTTCGTTGGTTTGCCTTTGAGCTCTTTTCTCCATAAATTCCTGTCATCTAATCAAGCTCTACTTTTCGTTGTTTGCCTTGGAACTCTTTCTCCATCAAAGCCATTATGAGTCTCTCAAATTCCGTCATCTAATCACGCTCTACTTTCGTTGGTTTTGGTCCATGCCTTTGGAATTCCGTCATCTAATTTTCCATCAAAGCCATTATGAGTCTCTCAAATTGTCATCTAATCACGCTCTACTTTCGTTGGTTGCCTTTGAAACTTTTTTCCTCCATCAAAGCCATTATGAGTCTCTCAAATTCCGTCATCTAATCACGCTCTACTTTCGTTGGTTGCCTTTGGACTCTTTTCCCTCCATAAACCATTATGGGTCTCTCAAATTCCGTCATCTAATCACGCTCCTACTTTCGTTGGTTGCCTTTGGAACTCTTTTCCCTCCATCAAAAGCCATTATGCGTCTCTCCAAATTCATCATCAACGCTCCATTGCCTTTGGAACTCTTTTCCCTCCATCAAAGCCATATGAGTCTCTCAAATTCCGTCATCTAATCAAGCTCTACTTTCGTTGGTTGCCTTTGGAACTCTTTTCCCCCATCAAAGCCATTATGAGTCTCTCAAATTCCGTCATCTAATCACGCTCTACTTTCGTTAGTTTGCTGCCTTTTGACTCTTTTCTCATCAAAGCCATTCCGGTCTCAAATTCCGTCATCAATCCACGCTCTACTTTCGTTAGTTGCCCTTTGGTCCATGCCTTTGGAACTCTTTGCCTTTGGAACTCTTTTTCCTCCAAAGCCATTATGAGTCTCTCAAATTTCATCTAATAATCTACTTTCGTTGGTTGCCTTTGGAACTCTTTTCCCTCCATCAAAGCCATTATGAGTCCTCTCAAATTCCGTCATATAATCACGCTCTACTTTCGTTTGGTTGCCTTTTCGAACTCTTTTCCTCCATCAACCATTATGAGTCTCTCATTCAAATCATCTAATCACGCTCTACTTTCGTTGGTTGCCTTTGGAACTCTTTTCCTCCATCAAAGCCATTATGAGTCTCTCAAATTCATCCGTCATCTTTAATCAAAGCATTATGGTCTCTCAAATTTCGTTGGTTTGCCTTTTGGAACTCTTTTCCTCCATCAAAGCCATTATGAGTCTCTCAAATTCCGTCATCTAATCACATCTCTACTTTCGTTGGTTGCCTTTGGAACTCTTTTTTCCTCCATCATCTAATCGCTCTACTTTTTCGTTGGTTGCCTTTCACTCTTTTTCCATGAGTCTCAAATTCCGTCATCTAATCTTGCTCTCTACGTTAGTTTTGCCTTTGAACTCTTTTCCTCATTGCCTTTGTCTCAAATTCCGAACTCTTTTGGAACTCTTTTCCTCCATCAAAGCCATTATGAGTCTCTCAAATTCCGTCATCTAATCACGCTCTACTTTCGTTGGTTTGAACCTTTTCCTCCATCAAAGCCATTAAGTCTCAAATTCGTCATTTCCTTTCGTTGGTTGCCTTTGGAACTCTTTTCCTCCATCAAAGCCATATGAGTCTCTCAATTCCGTCATCTAATCGCTCTACTTTCGTTGGTTGCCTTTTGGAACTCTCCATCAAAGCCAGGTCTCAAATTCATCTAATCACGCTCTACTTTCGTTGGTTGCCTTTGAACTCTTTTTCTCCATCAAAGCCATTATGAGTCTCTCAAATTCAATCGTCCAATCAAGTTTCTTTCGTTGGTTGCCTTTGGAACTCTTTTCCCTCCAAGAAAGCCATTATGAGTCTCTCAAATTCCATGTCTAATCACGCTCTACTTATTGGTTGCCTTTGGAACTCTTTTCCTCATCAAAAGCCATTATGAGGTCTCTCAAATTCCGTCATCTAATCACGCTCTACTTTCGTTGGTTGCCTTTGGAACTCTTTTCCCTCCATCAAAGCCCAAATCCGTATCTAAGTCTCTCTCAAATTCCGTCATCTAATCACGCTCTACTTTCGTTGGCTGCCTTTGGAACTCTTTTCCCTCCATCAAAAGCCATTATGAGTCTCTCAAATTCCGTCATCTAATCCGCCTCTACTTTTCGTTAGTTGCTTCGAACTCTTTTCCTCCATCAAAGCCATTATTCTCAAATTCCGTCATCTAATCACGTCTACTTTCTTTTTGGTTGCCTTTGAACTCTTTTCTTTCCATCAAAAGCCATTATGATCTCTCAAATTCCGTCATCTAATCACGCTCTACTTTCGTTGGTTTGCCTTTGGAACTCTTTTCCCTCCATCAAAGCCATTATGAGTCTCTCAAATTCCGTCATCTAATCACGCTCTACTTTCGTTGGTTGCCTTTGGAACTCTTTTCCCTCCATCAAAGCCATTATGAGTCTCTCAAATTCCGTCATCTAATCACGCTCTACTTTCGTTGGTTGCCTTTGGTTTTTGGATCCGCTCTACTTTCGTTGGTTGCCTTTTCCCTCCATCAAAGCCATTATGAGGTTTCTCGTCTCTCAAACGCTCTCCGTGGCATCTAATCACGCCTCTACTTTCGTTGGTTGCCTTTGGAACTCTTTTTTCCTCTCCATCAAAAGCTCTACTTTCGTTGGGAGTCTTTTCCCTCCATCAAATTCCGTCATTTAATCATCGCTCTACTTTCGTTGGTTGCCTTTGGAACTCTTTTCCCTCCATCAAAGCCATTATGAGTCTCTCAAATTCCGTCATCTAATCACGCTCTACTTTCGTTGGTTGCCTTTTAAACTCTTTTTCCCTCCATCAAAGCCATTATGAGTCTCTCCAAATTCCGTCATCTAATCACGCTCTACTTTCGTTCGTTGCCTTTGGAACTCTTTTCCTCCATAAAAGCTCTACTTTCGTTGGTTGCCTTTGAACTCTTTCCCTCCATCAAAGCCATTATAGTCTCAAATTCCGTCATCTAATCACGCTCTACTTTCGTTGGTTGCCTTTAGACTCTTTTCCCTCCATCAAAGCCATTATGGTCTCTCAAATTCCGTCATCGTCACTCTACTTTCGTTGGTTGCCTTTTGGAACTCTTTTCCCTCCATCAGCCATTATGAGTCTCTCAAATTCCGTCATATAATCCGCTCTGCTCGTTAGTTGCTTTCGAACTCTTTCCCTCCATCAAAGCCATTATGAACCTCTCAAATTCATCATCAATGCGCTCTACTTTTCCGTTCGTTGCCTTTTGGAACTTTTCCCTCCATCAAAGCAGTATGAGTCTCTCAGGGTCCGTCATCTAATCACGCTCCAACTTTCGTTGGTGCTTTTGGAACTCTTTTCCTTCCGTCAAAGCCATTAGGTCTCTCAAAATTTCTGTCATCTAATCACTTCCACTTTCATTGGTTTGCCTTTATGGAACTCTTTCCCTCATCAAAGCCATTATGAGTCTCTCAAATTCGTCACCTAATCACGCTCTACTTTCGTTGGTTGCCTTTGGAACTCTTTTCCCCTCCATCAAAGCCATTATGGTCCTCTCAAATTCCGTCATCTAATCACGCCTCTCTTTTCGTTGGTTGCCTTTGGAACTCTTTTCCCTCCATCAAAGCCATTATGAGTCTCTCAAATTCCGTCATCTAATCACTCTCGCTTTTTTGGTTGCCTTTAAACCTCTTTTCCCCTCCATCAAAAGCCATATTATAGGTCTCTCAAATTCCGTCATCTAATCACGCTCTACTTTCGTTGGTTGCCTTGAATCTTTTCCTCCATCAAAGCCATTATGAGTCTCTCAAATTCCGTCATCATCACGCCTCACTTTTTTTGGTTCATCTTTCCGCTCTACAGCCCTTTCAATTGTCATTAATCACGCTCTACTTTTGAACTCTTTCCCTCCATCAAAAGCTTATTAAGGGAGTCTCTCAAATTCCGTCATCATCAAGCTCTACTTTCTGTTGGTTGCCTTTGGAACTCTTTTCCCTCCTCAAAGCCGTTATGAGTCTCAAATTCCGTCATCTAATCACGCTCTACTTTCGTTGGTTGCCTTTGGAACTTTTTCCTCCATCAAACCATTATGAGTCTCTCATCTAATTCCCGTCATCTAATCAGTCTCAAATTCCGTCATCTAATCACGCTCTACTTTGGTTGCCTTTGGAACCTTTTTTTCCTCCATCAAAGCCATTATGAGTCTCTCAAATTCCGTCATCTAATCACGCTCTACTTTCGTTGGTTGCCTTTAAACTCTTTTTCCCGTCCATCAAGCCATTTATGAGTCTCTCAAATTCCGTCATCTAATCACGCCTACTTTCGTTGGTTGCCTTTGGAACTCTTTTTCCTCCATCAAAGCCATTATGAGTCTCTCAAATTCCGTCATCTAATCACGCTCTACTTTCTGTTCGTTGCCTTTTGAACTCTTTTTCCCCTCCATCAAAGCAAATTATGAGTCACTTTCGTAAGTTCCGTCAACTAATTCCATCATCTAATTATGAGTCTCTACTTTCGTTGGTTGCCTTTGGTTCGTTTTGGAACTTTTTTTCTCCATCAAAGCCATTATGAGTCTCTCAAATTCCGCTTTTCATCTAATCACGCCTGTCTTTCGTTGGTTGCTTTTAAACTCTTTCCCATTATGAGTCTCCATCAAATCACGCTCTACTTTCGAGTCTGTCGGAACCTTTTTCCTCCATCAAAGTCGTCATGAGTCTCAAATTCCGTCACCTTTAGTTTTCGTTGGTTGGTCCTTTTTTCCTCCATCAAAGCCATTATGAGTCTCTCAAATTCCGTCATCTAATCACGCTCTACTTTCGTTCGTTTTGGAACTCTTTTTCCCTCCATCAAAGCCATTATGAGTCTCTAAATTCCGTCATCTAATCTCTACTTTCGTTGGTTTACCTTTGGAACTCTTCCCTCCATCCATGTTATGGGTCTCTCAAATTCGTCGTAATCACGCTCTACTTTCTTTTGGTTGCCTTTGGAACTCTTTCCCCTCCATCAACCATTATGAGTCTCTCAAATTCCGTCATCTAATCGCTCTACTTTCGTTGTTTGCCTTTGGAACTCTTTTCCCTCCATCAAAGCCATTATGGTCTCTCAAATTCGTCATCTAATCACGCTCTACTTTTCGTTGGTTGCCTTTGGAACTTTCCCTCCATCAAAGCCATTGAGTCTCTCAAATTTCGTCATCTAATCACGCTCTACTTTCGTTGGTTGTCTCTTTGAACTCTTTTTCCCTTTCCCCATCAAAGCCATTATAAAGTCTAATCTCTAACCTTTGGAACTCTTCCCTCCATCCATGTTATGGGTCTCTCAAATTCGTCTAATCGCTCTCTACTTTCTTTTGGTTTGCCTTTGGCACTCTTTCCCTCCATCAAAGCCATTTGAGTCTCAAATTCCGTCATCTAATCAAGCTCTACTTTCGTTGGTTGCCTTTGGAACTCTTTCCTCCATCAAGCCATTATAGGTCTCTCAAATTCCGTCATCTAATCACGCTCTACTTTCGTTGGTTGCCTTTGAACTCTTTTCCCTCCATCAAAGCGTATGTCTCTCAAATTCCGTCATCTAATCACGCTCTACTTTCGTTGGTTGCGCTGAGACTCTTTTCCCCTCCAAAGCCATTGTGGGTCTTCTCTCAAATTCCGTCATCCTAATCACGCTCTACTTTCGTTCGTTGCCTTTGCTCTTTTCCTCCGTAAAACTCTTTCTAATTCTCTCCATCTAATCACGCTCATTTTCCGTTGGTTGCCTTTCAAATTCCGTCATCAAAATCACTTGAGTCTCAAATTCCGTCATCCTAATGCCTTTCGTTGGTTTGCCTTTGGAGACTTTTCCCTCCATCAAAGCCATTATGGATCTCTCAAATTCCGTCATCTAATCAAGCTCTACTTTCGTTGGTTTGCCCTTTGGAACTCTTTTCCCCTCCATCAAAGCCGTATGAGTCTCTCAAATTCCGTCATCTAATCACGCTCTACTTTCGTTTGGTTTGCCTTTTGGAACTCTTTTCCTCCATCAAAAGCCATTAAGGTCTCTCTCAATTCCATCATCTAATCACGCTCTACTTTCGTTGGTTGCCTTTGGAACTCTTTCCCTCCATCAAAGCCATTATGGAGTCTCTCAAATTCCGTCATCTAATCACGCTCTCTCTTTCGTTTTTGGTTCTCCATCAGCCGTAAGTCTCTTTTCCCTCCATCTGCTCTACTTTAGTTTACGACTCTTTCTCTCCAAATTCCGTCATCTAATCCGCTCTACTTTCGTTGGTTGCCTGGCCTCTTTTCCCCTCCATCAAAGCCATTATGATTCTCTCAAATTCCGTCATCTAATCAAGCTCTACTTTCCGTTGGTTTGCCTTTGGAATCTTTTCCCTCCATCAAAGACATTATGAGTCTCTCAAATTCCATCTAATCAAGCTCTCTACTTTGCCTTTGGAACTCTTTTCAAAGCCTTTGTAAGGTCTCTCAAATTTCATCCCCTCCGTTGGTTCAAAGCCATTCCATGTAGTCTCTCAAATTCCGTCATCTAATCACGCTCTACTTTCGTTGATTTTGCCTGGAACTCTTTTCCTCCATCAAAGCCATTATGGGTCTCAAATTCCGTCATCTAATCGCTCTACTTTTCGTTTTTTGCCTTTGAACTCTTTTTCCTCCATCAAAGCCATTATGAGTCTCTCAAATTCCGTCATCTAATCAAGCTCTACTTTCGTTGGTTTGCCTTTGGAACTCTTTCCCTCCATCAAAGCCATTATAGTCTCCTCAAATTCCGTCATCTAATCGCTCTCTACTTTCGTTCGTTGTTGCCTTTGGAACTCTTTTCCCTCCATCAAAAGCCATTATGAGTCTCTCAAATTCCGTCATCCAATCGCTCTACTTTCGTTATTTTGCCTTTGGAACTCTTTTCCCTCCATCAAAAGCCATTATGGTCTCTCAAATTCCGTCATCTAATCGCTCTACTTTCGTTGGTTGCCTTTGGAACTCTTTTCCTCCATCAAAGCCATTATGAGGTCTCTCAAATTCCGTCATATAATCACGCTTTCTACTTTCGTTGGTTGCCTTTCGAACTCTTTTCCCCTCCATCCTGACCAGTATGGTCTCTCAAATTCGTCATCTAATCACGCTCTACTTTCGTTCGTTGCCTTTGGAATTTTCCCCTCCATCAAAAGCCAATTATGAGTCCTCTCAAATTCGGTATCTAATCACGCTCAACTTTCGTTGGTTCTTTTGGAACTCTTTTCCTTCCGTCAAAGCCATCTGAGTCTCAGGGTCTGTCATCTAATCACACGCTCACTTTCGTTGGTTGCCTTTGGAACTCTTCCCTCCATCAAACCAAGTATGAGTCTCAAATTCACAATCACTAATCGCTCTACTTTCCGTTGGTTGCCTTTGAATCTTTTCCACACTTATCAAAAAATATTATAGTCTCTCAAATTCCGTCATCTAATCACATCTACTTTCGTTGGTTGCCCTTTGAACTCTTCCTCCCTCTATTGGGTATGGAGTCTCTAAATTCCGTCATCTAATCACGCTCTACTACTTTCGTTGGTTGCCTTTGGAACTCTTTCCTCCATCAAAGCCATTATGAGTCTCTCAAATTCCGTCATCAATCACGCTCTACTTTCGTTAAGTTTGCCTGAACTCTTTTCCCTCCATCGTATTATGGTCTCCTCCTCAAATCCGTCATCTAATGCGCTTTCTACTTTCGTTGGTTGCCTTTGGAACTCTTTTCCCTCCATCAAAGCCATTACGGTTCTTTTGAACTCTTTTTTCCTCCATCATTAATTCCGTCGTCTAATCACGCTCTACTTTCGTTGGTTGCCTTGAACCTCTTTTTTTCCTCCATCAAAGCTTTTGGCTATGAGTTCTCCTCAACCTGTCATCTAATCACGCTCTACTTTCGTTGGTTGCCATTGGCACTCTTTTCTTCTCCATCAAAGCCATTATGAGTCTCTCAATTCCACACATCTAATCACGCTCTACTTTCTTTCGTTGGTTGCCTTGAACTCTTTTCTTCTCCATCAAAGCCAGCCAGGAGTCTCTCAAATTCCGTCATCTAATCACGCTCTACTTTCGTTAAGTTGGGTTTTGGAACTCTTTTTTTCCTCCATCAAAGCCAGTAAGAGTCTCCTCAAATTCCGTCATCTAATCACGCCCACTTTCGTTGGTTGCCTTTGAACTCTTTCTCCATCAAAGCCATTATGATCTCTCAAATTCTGTCATCTAATCACGCTCTACTTTCGTTACGGGTTTTTGGAACTCTTTTCCCTACATCAAAGCCATTATGAGTCTCTCAACCCGTCATCTAATCACGCTCTACTTTCGTTGTTGCCTTGCAGAACCTTTTTTCCCCTTCCATCAAAGCTTATTATGAGTCTCTCAAATTCCGTCATCTAATCACGCTCTCTACTTTCGTTTTGGTTTCCCTTTGAGTCTCCCCAACTCCTCTTTCCTTTCGTTGGTTCCTTTCGAATCCTTTTCCTCCATGGGTCTCTCAAATTCCGTCATCTAATCACGCTCTACTTTCGTTGGTTGCCTTTCGAATCCTTTTTTCCTCCTCAAAGTTTCTATTATGAGTCTCCCCCAAATTCCGTCATCTAATCAACCATTATGAGTCTCTCAAATTCCGTCATCTAATCACACTCTACTTTCGTTGTTTGCCTTTTGAACTCTTTTTTCCTTCCATCAAAGCCATTATGAGTCTCTCAAATTCGTCATCTAATCACGCTCTACTTTCGTTGGTTTGCCTTTTAACTCTTTTCCCTCCATCAAGCCATTATGAGTCTCTCAAATTCCGTCATCTAATCTACGCTCTACTTTCATTGGTTGTTTTTGAACTCTTTTTTTCCCCATCAAAGCTAATATGAGTCTCAAATTCCGTCACTCTTTTGCTGCCATTGGCACTTTTTTTCCCTCCATCAAAGCCATTATGAGTCTCTCAAATTCCGTCATCTAATCACGCTCTACTTTCGTTGGTTGCCTTTGGAACTCTTTCCCCTCCATCAAAGCCATTATGAGTCTCTCAAATTCTGTCATCTAATCACGCTCTACTTTCGTTGGAACTCTTTTCCCTCCACATCAAAGCCATTATGAGTCTCTCAAATTTGTCATCTAATCACGAATTTCGTTGGTCTTTTGAACTTTTTCCCTCCATCAAAGCCATTATGAGTCTCTCAAATTCCGTCATCTAATCACGCTCTACTTTCGTTGGTTGCCTTTGGAACTCTTTTCCTCCATCAAAGCCATTATGAGTCTCTCAAATTCTGTCATCTAATCACGCTCTCTTTCGTTGGTTGCCTTTTGAACTCTTTCCTCCATCCCATTTGAGTCTCTCAAAACTAATCTCTACTTTCGTTGGTTGCCTTTGGAACTCTTTCCCTCCATCAAAGCCATTATGAGTCTCTCAAATTCCGTCATCTAATCACGCTCTACTTTTTTTCGTTGGTTGCCTTTTGGAACTCTTTTTTTTTTTCCTCCATCAAATTCCCATCTAATGAGTCTCTGGTTTTTTCCGTCCCATCTAATCTGGCTCTGAGTTCTCGTTGGTTGCCTTTGGAACTCTTTTTTTCCTCCATCAAAGCCATTACGAGTCTCTCAAATTCCGTCATCTAATCACGCTCTACTTTCGTTGGTTGCCTTTGGAACTTTTTCCCTCCATCAAAAGACATTATGTCTCTCAAATTCAAATCATCTAATGCTCTACTTTCTTTTGGAACTCTTTTTTCCCTCCATCAAAGCCATTATGAGTCTCTCAAATTCCGTCATCTAATCACGCTCTACTTTCGTTGGTTGCCTTTGGAACTTTTTTTCCTCCATCAAAGCCATTATGAGTCTCAAATTCCGTCATCTAATCACGCTCTACTTTCGTTGGTTGCCTTTGGAATCTCTTTTCCCTCCATCAAAGACATTATGAGTCTCTCAAACTTGCCTTAATCACGTCATCTACTTCTTTTTCCTCCATCAAAGCGCATTATGAGTCTCTCAAACATCTTTGCTCTACTTTTGGTTGCCTTTGGAACTTTTTTCCTCCATCAAGTTTTATATTATGATTCTCTCAAATTCTGTCATCTAATCACGCTCTAATTTCGTTGTTTTGCTTGGAACTCTTTCCATCAAAGCCATTATAGGTCTCAAATTCCGTCATCTAATCACGCTCTACTTTCGTTGATTTGCCTTTGGAACTCTTTTCTCCCTCATCAAAGCCATTATGAGTCTCTCAAATTCATCATCTAATCACGCTCTACTTTCGTTGGTTGCCTTTGGAGACTCTTTTCCCTCCATCAAAATACATTGTAGGTCTCTCAGTTGATATATAATCACGCTCTACTTTCGTTGGTTGCCTTTGGAACTCTTCCCTCCATCAAAGCCATTATGAGTCTCTCAAATTCGTCATCAATCACGCTCTACTTTCGTTGGTTTGCCTTTGGAACTCTTTTCCCTCCATCAAAGCCATTATGAGTCTCAAATTCCGTCATCCTAATCACGCTCTACTTTCGTTCGTTTGCCTTTGAACTCTTTTTCCTCCATCAAAGCCTTTGGTTCAAATCATCTAATCACGCTCTTTTCGTTGGTTGCCTTTGAACTCATTTCCTCCATCAAGCCATTATGAGTCTCTCAAATTCAATCATCTAATGCGCTCTCTTTCGTTGGTTCATCGTAAGTCTCTCAAATTCCGTCGTCATCTAATCACGCTCTACTTTCGTTGGTTGCCTTTGGAACTCTTTTTTTTGAGTCTCCTCAGATTCCATCTAATCACGCTCTACATTCGTTGTTGCTGGAACTCTTTTCCCTCCATCAATTCCGGGTCTCTCAAATTCTGTCATCTAATCACGCTCTTTCATTGTTTGCCTTTGGAACTCTTTTTCTCCATCAAAGCCATTATAGTCTCAAATTCCGTCATCTAATCACGCTCTACTTTTTGGTTTTGCCTTTGGTGCTCTTTCCCCTCCATCAAAGCCATTATGGTCTCTCAAATTCCGTCATCTAATCACACTCTCTTTCGTTAGTTTGACTCTTTTCCCTCCATCAAAGCCCTCCATCAAATTCCATTATCTAGTCTCTCAAATGGTTCCACTCTTTTCCTCCATCAACCATTATGAGTCTCTCTATCACGCTCTACTTTCGTTGGTTTGCCTTTGGACTCTTTCCCTCCATCAAAGCCATTTATGGTCTCTCAAATTCCGTCATCTAATCACACTCAACTTTCTTTGGAACTCTTTTCCTCCATCAAAAGACATTGAATTCTCATTCCGTCATCCACGCTCAACTTTCGTTGGTTTCCACTCCCTCCATCAAAGCCATTATGAGTCTCAAATTGAGTCTCTCAAATTCTTTGGAACTCTTTTCCCTCCATCATCTAATCTAATCGCTCTACTACTTTCGTTGGTTGCCTTTTGAATTCTTTCCTCCATCAAAGCCATTATGAGTCTCTCAAATTCCGTCATCTAATCACGCTCTGCTTTCGTTGGTTGCCTTTGGAACTCTTTCCTCCATCAAAGCCATTATAGGTCTCTCCAAAATTCCGTCATCTAATCACTCTACGTTTCGTTGGTTGCCTTTGGAACTCTTTTCCATCAAAGCTCCATTGCCTTTTGCGTCTCCCTCCATCAAATCATCTAATCACGCTCTACTCTTTCGTTGGTTGCCTTTGGAAACTCTTTTCCCTCCATCAAGCCATTATGAGTCTCTCAAATTCCGTCATCTAATCGCTCTACTTTCGTTGGTTGCCTTTGAACTCTTTTCCTCCATCAAAGCCATTGTAGGTCCTCTCAAATTCCGTCATCTAATCGCTCTACTTTCGTTGGTTGCCTTTTGGAGACTCTTTCCTCCATCAAGCCATTATATGGTCTCTCAAATTCCGTCATCTAATTACGCTCTACTTTCATTTGGTTGCTTTTGGAACTCTTTCCTCCATCAAAGCCATTATGAGTCTCTAAATTCCGTCATCTAATCACGCTCTACTTTCGTTGGTTGCCTTTGGAACTCTTTTCCCTCCATCAAAACCATTATGAGTCTCTCAAATTCCGTCATCTAATCACGCTCTGCTTTCGTTGGTTTGCCTTTGGAACTCTTTCCCTCCATCAAAGCCATTAGTCTCTCAAATTCTGTCATCTAATCACGCTCTACTTTCGTTGGTTGCCTTTGGAACTCTTTTCCTCCATCAAAACCATTATGAGTCTCTAAATTCCGCTCTCTTTTCGTTGGTTTGCCTTTTAGCTCTTTTCCCTCCTCCATTTTTCGTTGGTTGCCGTCTAATCTCTTTTCGTTGGTTGCCATCTTTTTCCTCCATAGGTCTCTCAATTCCGTCATCTAGACTTTCGTTGGTTTCCTTTGGAACTCTTTTCCTCCATCAAAGCCATTATGGTCTCTCAAATTCCGTCATCTAATCGCTCTACTTTCGTTAGTTTTGCCTTTTGAACTCTTTTCCCTCCATCAAAAGCCATTATGGTCTCTCAAATTCCGTCATCTAATCACGCTCTACTTTCGTTGGTTGCCACAGAACTCTTTTCCCCCATCAAAACCATTATGAGTCTCTCAAATTCCGTCATCTAATCACTCTACTTTTTTCGTTGGTTTGCCTTTGGCACTCTTTTCCCTCCATCAAACCATTGAGTCTCTCAAATTCCGTCATCTAATCACATCTACTTTCGTTGGTTGCCTTTGAACTCTTTTCCCTCCATCAAAGCCATTATGAGTCTCTCAAAATTCCGTCATCTAATCCGCTCTACTTTCGTTGGTTGCCTTTGGAACTCTTTTCCTCCATCAAAGCCATTATAAGTCTCTCAAATTCCGTCATCTATCCACGCTCTACTTTCGTTGGTTGCCTTTGGAACTCTTTTCCCTCCATCAAAGCCATTGTAGTCTCTCAAATTCCGTCATCTAATCACGCTCTAATTTCGTTGGTTTTGCCCTTTGGAACTCTTTCCTCCATCAAAAGCCATTATGAGTCTCTCAAATTCCGTCCATCTAATCACTCTACTTTCTGCACTCTTTTCCCTCCATCAAAGCCATTATGAGTCTCTCCGTTGTCATCCCTTTCGTTGGAACTCTTTTCCCTCCATCAAAGCCATTATGAGTCTCTCAAATTCTGTCATCTAATCACGCTCTTTCGTTGGTTTGCCTTTCAGACTCTTTTCCTCCATTGTCTCTCAAATTCATCATTGCTTTCGTTGGTTGCCTTTGGCACTCTTTTCCCCTCATCAAAGCCATTATGGGTCTCTCAAATTCCGTCATCTAATCACGCTCTCTACTTTCGTTGGTTGCCTTTGGAACTCTTTCCTCCATCAAAGCCATTATGAGTCTCTCCGTTCATCATCTAATCACGCTCTACTTTCGTTGGTTTGCCTTTGGAACTTTTTCCCCTCCATCAAAACCATTATGAGTCTCTCAAATTCCGTCATCTAATCACGCTCTACTTTCTTTTGGTTTGCCTTTTGAACTCTTTTCCCTCCATCAAAGCCATTATCAGTCTCTCAAATTCTGTCATCTAATGCGCTCTACTTTTCGTTGGTTGCCTTTTCAGAACTCTTTTCCTCCATCAAAGCCATTATGGTCTCAGATTCCGTCATCTAATCGCTCTACTTTCGTTGAAACGGAACTCTTTTTCCTCATCTAATTCTCTCCGCTCATCTAATCACTCTAATTTGGTTGCCTTTGGAACTCTTTTCCTCCATCAAAGCCATTATGGATCTCTCAAATTCCGTTATTTAATCACGCTCTATTCGTTGGTTGCCTTTGAACTCTTTTCCTCCATCAAAGCCATTTATGAGTCTCTCAAATTCCGTCATCTAATCACGCTCTACTTTTTGTTATTTTTCCCTCCATTTGTCTCTCAAATTCTTTCCGCTCCTGGGTTGGTTGCTCACTCTTTTCCCTACCAAGCCATTATGAGTCTCTCAAATTCCGTCATCTAATCTACGCTCTAATTTCGTTGGTTGCCTTTCAGAACTCTTTTCCCTCCATCAAAGCCATTATAGGTCTCTCAAATTCTGTCATCTAATCACGCTCTACTTTCATTGGTTGCCTTTGGAACTCTTTTCCTCCATCAAAGCCATTATGGGTCTCAAATTCCGTCATCTAATCACGCTAATTTTTCGTTGGTTGCCTTTGGAACTCTTTTCCCCATCCATTATGAGTCTCTCAAATTCCGTCATCAATCACGCTCTCTTTTCGTTGGTTGCCTTTCGAACTCTTTTCCCTCCATCAAATCACGTCTCTCAAATTCAATCATCTAATCACGCTCTACTTTCGTTGGTTGCCTTTGAACTCTTTTCCCTCCATCAAAGGCATTATGAGTCTCTCAAATTCGTTATCTAATCACGCTCTGCTTTGCCTTTGGAACTCTTTCCCTCCATCAGCCATTATGGAATTCGTCATAATCCCTCTCTTTCCTTTTGAACTCTTTTCCTCCATCAAAAGCCATTATAGGTCTCATTCCGTCATCTAATCACGCTCTACTTTCTTTTGGTTTGCCATTGGCTCTTTTCCCTCCATCAAAGCCATTATGAGTCTCTCAAATTCCAATCATCTAATCACGCTCTGCTTTCGTTGGTTGCCCTTTGGAACTCTTTTCCTCCATCAAAGCCATTAAGTCTCTCAGAATTCTGTCATCTAATCAAGCTCTGCTTTCGTTGGTTTTGCCTTTGGAACTCTTTTCCTCCATCAAAGCCATTATGCGTCTCTCTCAAATTCTGTCATCTAATCACGCTCTACTTTCGTTGGTTTGCCTTTGGAACTCTTTTCCTCCATCAAAGCCATTATGGGTCTCTCAAAATTCCGTCATCTAATCAAGCTTTCTACTTTCGTTAGTTTTGCCTTTGGAACTCTTTTCCCTCCATCAAAGCCATTATCAAGGTCTCTCAAATTCCGTCATCTAATCGCTCTGCTTTCTTTTGGTTTGCCTTTTGGAACTTTTCCCTCCATCCAAGCCATATAAGTCTCAAATTCGTCATCTAATACGCTCTACTTTCGTTGGTTTGCCTTTGGACTCTTTTCCCTCCATCAAAGCCATTATGGAGTCTCTCAAATTCTGTCATCTAATCACGCTCTGCTTTCGTTGGTTGCCTTTGAACCTCTTTTCCCTCCATCAAGCCATTATGGTCTCTCAAATTCCGTCATCTAATCACGCTCTACTTTCGTTGGTTGCCTTTGGAACTCTTTTCCCTCCATCAAAGCCATTATGGGTCTCTCAATTCCGTCATCTAATCACGCTCTACTTTCGTTGGTTTGCCTTTGGAACTCTTTTCCTCCATCAAAGCCCATTATGAGTCTCTCAAATTCCGTCATCTAATCACGCTCTACTTTCGTTGGTTTGCCTGTGGAACTCTTTTTCCCTCCATCAAAGCCATTATGGTCTCTCAAATTCCGTCATCTAATCGCTCTCTGCTTTCGTTGGTTGCCTTTGGAACTCTTTTCCCTCCATCAAAGCCATGTCAGTCTCAAATTCCGTCATCTAATCCGCTCTGCTTTCGTTGGTTGCCTTTTGGAACTCTTTTCCTCCATCAAAACCATTATGAGTCTCTCCAATTCCGTCATCTAATCACGCTCTACTTTCGTTGGTTGCCTTTGGAACTCTTTTCCCTCCATCAAAGCCATTATAGTCTCTCAAATTCCGTCATCTAATCACGCTCTACTTTCGTTGGTTTGCCTTTGGAACTCTTCCTCCATCAAAGCCATTATGGTCTCCTCAAATTCCGTCATCTAATCACGCTCTGCTTTCATTTGGTTGCCTTTGGAACTCTTTCCATCAAAGCCATTATGAGTCTCTCAAATCCGTCATTAATCACGCTCTCTCAACTTTTTCCTCCATCAAAGCCATTAATCTCAAATTCCAATCATCTAATCACGCTCTTTTTCGTTGGTTGCCTTTGCAGAACTCTTTTCCCTCCATCAAAGCCATTATAAGGTCTCTCAAAATTCCGTCATCTAATCCGCTCTACTTTCGTTGGTTGCCTTTTCGAACTCTTTTCCTCATCAAAAGCCATTATGGGTCTCTCAATTCCGTCATCACGCTCTACTTTTTCGTTGGTTGCCTTTGGAACTCTTTTTCCTCCATCAAGCCATTATGAGTCTCTCAAATTCTGTCAATCTAATCACGCTCTACTTTCGTTGGTTGCCTTTGGAACTCTTTCCCTCCATCAAAGCCATTACTGGTCTCTCAAATTCCCGTCATCTAATCACGCTCTAATTTCGTTGGTTGCCTTTGGAACTCTTTTCCCTCCATCAAAGCCATTATGAGTCTCTCAAATTCCGTCATCTAATCACGCTCTACTTTCGTTGGTTGCCTTTGGAACTCTTTTCCCTCCATCAAAGCCATTATGAGGGTCTCTCAAATTCGTCATCTAATCACGCTCTGCTTTCGTTGGTTGCCTTTAGAACTCTTTTCCCTCCATCAAAAGCCATTATGAGTCTCTCAAATTCCGTCATCATCACGCTCTACTTTCGTTGGTTGCCTTTGGAACTCTTTTCCCCTCCATCAAAGCCATTATGAGTCTCTCAAATTCCGTCATCTAATCACGCTCTACTTTCGTTAGTTTGCCTTTGGAGCTCTTTTCCCCTCCATCAAAGCCATTGGTCTCTCAAATTGGGTATCTAATCACGCTCTGCTTTCGTTGGTTGCCCTTTTGGAACTCTTTTCCCTCCATCAAAGCCATTAACAGTCTCTCAAATTCGTCATCTAATCACGCTCTACTTTCGTTGGTTTCTGAACTTTTTCCCTCTCAAAGCCGTATGGAGTCTCTCAAATTCCGTCATCTAATCACGCTTTCTACTTTCGTTGGTTGCCTTTGGAACTCTTTTCCTCCATCAAAAGCCATTATGGGTCTCTCAAATTCTGTCATCTAATCACTCTGCTTTCGTTGGTTTTGCCTTTGGAACTCTTTTCCTCCATCAAAGCCATTAGTGAGTCTCTCAGATTCGTCATCTAATCACGCTCTAATTTCGTTGGTTGCCTGGGAGACTCTTTTCCCTCCATCAAGCCATTATGGGTCTCTCAAATTCCGTCTCTAATCACGCTTCTTTTCGTTGGTTGCCTTTGGAACCTTTTTCCCTCCATCAAAGGCATTATGAGTCTCAAATTCCGTCATCTGGCTTATCTACTTTCGTTGTTTGCCTTTTGGAACTCTTTCCCTCCATCAAAGCCATTATGGGTCTCTCAAATTCTGTCATCTAATCACGCTCTACTTTCGTTGGTTGCCTTTGGAACTCTTTTCCCTCTCAAATCAAAGAACTCATTATAGGCCCATAGGTCTCTCAAATTCCGTCATCTAATCCGCTCTACTTTTTATTTGGTTGCCTTTGGAACTCTTTTCCCTCCATCCAAGCCATTATGAAGGTCTCTCAAATTCCGTCATCTAATCACGCTCTGCTTTCGTTAGTTTTGCCTTTGGAACTCTTTTCCCCTCCATCAAAAGCCATTATGGGTCTCTCAAATTCCGTCATCTAATCACGCTCTGCTTTCGTTGGTTGCCTTTCGAACTCTTTTCCTCCATCAAAGCCATTATGGGTCTCTAAATTCCGTCATCTAATCACGCTCTACTTTCGTTGGTTGCCTTTGGAACTCTTTTCCCTCCATTTTCTCTCAAATTCCGTCATCTAAAAGCTCTACTTTTCATTGCTGGAATCTTTTCTCCGTAAAGCCATTATGGGTCTCTCAATTCGTCATCTAATCACACTCTACTTTCGTTGGTTGCCTTTGGAACTCTTTCCCTCCATCAAAACCATTATAGGTCTCTCAAATTCCGTCATCTAATACGCTCTACTTTTCGTTGGTTGCCTTTGGAGACTCTTTTCCCTCCATCAAAAGCCATTATGAGTCTCTCAAAATTCGTCATCTAATCACGCGCTCTACTTTCGTTTTGCCTTTTGAACTCTTTTTTGAGTCCTGATTCCGTCATCTAATCACGCTCTACTTTCGTTGGTTGCCTTTGGAACCTCTTTTTCCGTCATCAAGCCATTATAGTCTCTCAAATTCATCATCTAATCACGCTCTAATTTCGTTGGTTTTTTGGAACTCTTTTCCCTCCATCAAAGCCATTAGGTCTCTCAAATTCCGTCATCTAATCACGCTCTCTACTTTCGTTGGTTGCCTTTCGAACTCTTTTTCCTCCATCAAAGCTTATATTATAGGTCTCTCAAATTCTGTCATCTAATCACGCTCTACTTTCGTGGTTGCCTTTGGAACTCTTTTCCCTCCATCAAGCTTAGTATGAGTCCTCTCAAATTCCGTCATCTAATCACGCTCTACTTTCGTTGGTTGCCTTTTGAAACTTTTTCCCTCCATCAAAGCCATTTTGAGTCTCTCTCAAATTCCGTCATCTAATCACGCTCAAATTTCGTTGTTTTGCCCTTTTGGAACTCTTTTCCCTCCATCAAAGCTATTATGAGTCTCTCAAATTCCGTCGCTCTACTTTCGTTGGTTTGCCTTTGAAATCAAAGCCGTCCTCTCAAATTCCGTCATCTTTCGCTCTACTTTGTTGGTTGCCTTTCGAACTTTTTTCCCTCCATCAAAGCTTATTATGAGTCTCTCAAATTCCGTCATCTAATCACGCTCTACTTTCGTTGGTTGCCTTTTGAACTCTTTTTCCTCCATCAAAGCCATTATGAGTCTCTCAAATTCGTCATCTAATCACGCTCTCTACTCGTTGGTTATTTGGAACTCTTTTCCCTCCATCGAAGCCATTATGAGTCTCTCAAATTTGGTTATCTAATCATTGCTCTACTTTCGTTGTTGCCTTTGGAACTCTTTCCTCCATCAAAGCCATTTTTCCAAATTCGTCATCTAATCCGCTCTAAGCCATTGGTTGAGTCCCTCCTGGCAGTAAATTCTCATCATCCTCATCTAATCACGCTCTACTACTTTCGTTGATTGCCTTTTGAACTCCTTTTCCCTCCATCAAAGCCATTATGAGGTCTCTCAAATTTGTCATCTAATCACGTTTAATTTCTGTTGGTTTGCCTTTGGAACTCTTTTTTCTCCATCAAAGCCATTACAGAGTCTCTAAATTCTGTCATCTAATCACGCTCTCTAAATTTCGTTGGTTTGCTTTGGAACTCTTTTCCTCCATCAAAAGCCATTATGGGTCTCTCAAATTCCGTCATCTAATCACGCTTTTACTTTCGTTGGCCTTTGGAACTCTTTTCCCTCCATCAAAGCCATTATGGTCTCTCAAATTCCGTCATCTAATCACGCTCTACTTTCGTTGGTTGCCTTTGGAACTCTTTTCCCTCCATCAAAGCCATTATGAGTCTCAAATTCCGTCATCTAATCAAGCTCTCGCTTTCGTTGGTTGCCTTTGGAACTCTTTCCCTCCATCAAAGCCATTGACTTTCTTTTTTCCTCCATCAAAGGTCTCTCAAATTCCGTCATCTAATCACGCTCTACTTTCGTTGGTTGCCTTTGGAACTCTTTTCCCTCCATCAAAGCCATTATGAGTCTCTCCGTTCTCATCTAAATTCGTTCATCTGTCACGCTCTCAAATTTCATCTTGGTTGCCTTTGGAACTCTTTTCTTTTCCTCATCAAAGCCATTATGGTCTCTAAATTCTCTCTCAAATTCCGTCATCTAATCATCGCTCTACTTTTTCGTTGGTTGCCTTTAGAACTCTTTTCCCTCCATCAAAGCCATTATGATTCTCTCAAATTCCGTCATCTAATCCGCTCTACTTTTCGTTTGGTTGCCTTTGGAACTCTTTCCTCCATCAAAAGCCATTATGAGTCTCTCCGTTCCGTCATCTAATCGCTCTCTTTCGTTTGCCTTTGGAACTCTTTCCCTCCATCAAAGCCATTATGCGTCTCTCAAATTCATCATCTAATCACTCTACTTTCGTTGGTTGCCTTTGGAACTCTTTTCCTCCATCAAAGCCATTATGGTCTCTCAAATTCCGTCATCTAATCAAGCTCTACTTTCGTTGGTTGCCTTTGGAACTCTTTTCCTCCATCAAAGCCATTATGAGTCTCTCTAATCACTAATCAAGCTCTACTTTCGTTGGTTGCCTTTGGAACTCTTCCCTCCATCAAAGCCATTATGGTCTCTCAAATTCCGTCATCTAATCACGCTCTACTTTCGTTGGTTTGCCTTTGGAACTCTTTTCCCTCCATCAAGCCATTATGAGTCTCTCAAATTCGTCATCTAATCACGCTCTCTTTCGTTGGTTGCCTTTTGGAACTCTTTTCCTCCATCAAAGCCATTGGGTCTCTCAAATTCCGTCATCTAATCCGCTCTGCTTTTCTTTGGTTTTTGGAACTCTTTTTCCTCCATCAAAGCCATTTATTCTCAAATTCGTCATAATCACGCTCTACTTTCGTTGGTTGCCTTTGGAACTCTTTCCCTCCATCAAAGCCATTATGAGTCTCTCAAATTCCGTCATCTAATCACGCTCTACTTTCGTTGGTTGCCTTTGGAACTCTTTCCCTCCATCAAAGCCATTATGAGGTCTCTCAAATTCCGTCATCTAATCCGCTCTGCTTTCGTTTGGTTGCCTTGGAACTCTTTTTTCTCTCTCCCATCAAGCTCTACTTTCGTTGGTTCTTTGGAACTCTTTTCCCTCCATCATCTATTGCTGGAGTCTCTCAAATTCAATCATCTAATCACGCTCTACTTTCGTTGGTTTGCCTTTGGAACTCTTTCCTCATCCTCCATATGAGTCTCTCGATTCCGTCATCTATCGAAGCTCTTTCGTTGTGGTTCAAATTCCGTCCATCAAAATCTGGGTCTCTCTTGTATCTAATCACGCTCTACTTTCGTTGGTTTGCCTTTGGAACTCTTTCCTCCATCAAAGCCATTGTAGGTCTCTCAAATTCCGTCATCTAATCAAGCTCTACTTTCGTTGGTTGCCTTTGGAACTCTTTCCCTCCATCAAAAGCCATTATGGTCTCTCAAATTCCGTCATCTAATCGCTCTACTTTCGTTGGTTGCCTTGGGCTCTTTTCCCTCCATCAAACCATTATGAGTCTCTCTCAAATTCCGTCATCTAATCACGCTCTCTTTTCGTTGGTTGCCTTTGGAATTTCTTTCCTCTTTTCCAAATTCCATCTAATCCGCTCACTTTCTTTTGGTTGCCTTTGGCCTCTTTCCCTCAATAAAGCCATTAGGTTTCTCAAATTCGTCCTCTAATCACGCTCTACTTTCGTTGGTTGCCTTTGGAACTCTTTTCCCTCCATCAAAGCCATTATGGGTCTCTCAAATTCCGTCATCTAATCACGCTCTACTTTCGTTTGGTTTGCCTTTTGGCACTGCCCTCCGTAAAGCCATTTAGTCTCCCTAAATTCCATCATCAAACGCTCTATTCGTTAGCCTTTGTCTCCATCAAAGCTTTACCAAGGTCTCTCAAATTCCGTAATCACGCTCTACTTTTCGTTGGTTTGCCTTTGGAACTCTTTTCCCTCCATCAAATACGTATGAGTCTCTCAAATTCGTCATCTAATCACTCTACTTTCTCGTTTGGTTGCCTTTGGAACTCTTTTCCCTCCATCAAAGCCATTATGAGTCTCTCAAATTCCGTCATCTAATCACGCTCTACTTTCGTTGGTTGCCTTTGGAACTCTTTTCCCCTCCATCAAAAGCCATTATAAGGTCTCTCAAATTCCATCATCTAATCACACTCTACACCGTTGGTTTGCCTTTTGAACTCTTTTCCCTCCATCAAACCAGTATGAGTCTCAAATTCCCGTCATCTAATCCGCTCTACTTTCGTTGGTTGCCTTTGGAACTCTTTCCCTCCATCAAAGCCTCTCAAATTCCGTCATCTCCTCCATCAAAGCCATTATAGTCTCTCAAATTCCGTCTCTAATCAAATTCTGTCATCTAATCAAAGCCATTATGAGTCTCTCAAATTCGTCTAATCCTTTCGTTGGTTGCCTTTGAACTCTTTTCCCTCCATCAAAGAAGCCATTGTGGGTCTCTCAAATTCCGTCAATCTAATCACGCTCTGCTACGTTGGTTGCTTTGAACTCTTCCTCCATCAAAGCATTGGGTCTCTCAAAATTCGTCATCTAATCACGCTCTACTTTCGTTGGTTGCCTTTGGAACTCTTTTCCTCCATCAAAGCCATTATGAGTCTCTCTCAAATTCCGTCATCTAATCACGCTCTACTTTCGTTGGTTGCCTTTGGAACTCTTTTCCCTCCATCAAAGCCATTATGAGTCTCTCAAATTCCGTCATCTAATCACGCTCTACTTTCGTTGGTTGCCTTTGGAACTCTTTTCCCTCCTCCATCAAAGCCATTGCTTTCATTAGTCTCTCAAATTCCGTCATCTAATCACGCTCTACTTTCGTTGGGTTTGCCTTTTGGAACTCTTTTCCTCCATCAAAGCCATTATGAGTCTCTCAAATTCCGTCATCTAATCACGCTCTACTTTCGTTGGTTGCCTTTGGAACTCTTTCCCCTCCATCAAAGCCATTATGAGTCTCTCAAATTCCGTCATCTAATCACGCTCTACTTTCGTTGGTTGCCTTTGGAACTCTTTTCCCTCCATCAAAAGCCATTTGAGTCTCTCAAATTCCGTCATCTAATCACGCTCTCTACTTTCGTTGGTTGCCTTTGGAATTCTTTTCCCTCCATCAAAGCCATTATGAGTCTCTCAAATTCCGTCATCTAATCACGCTCTACTTTCGTTGGTGCCTTTGAACTCTTTTCCTCCATGAACTCTTTTCAAAGCCCCTCCATTTCGTTGGTTCTTTGGAAATCCAGCCGTTAAGTCTCTCAAATTGTCATCTAATCACGCTCTACTTTCGTTGGTTGCCTTTGAACTCTTTTCCCTCCATCAAAGCCATTATGAGTCTCTCAAATTCCGTCATCTAATCACGCTCTACTTTCGTTGGTTGCCTTTGGAACTCTTTCCCTCCATCAAAAGCCATTATTAGTCTCTCAAATTCCGTCATCTAATCACGCTCTACTTTCGTTGGTTGCCTTTGGAACTCTTTTCCCTCCATCAAAGCCATTATGAGTCTCTCAAATTCCGTCATCTAATCACGCTCTACTTTTTGTTTGCCTTTGGAACTCTTTTCCCTCCATCAAAGCCATTATGAGTCTCTCAAATTACGTCATCTAATCACGCTCAACTTTCGTTGGTTGCCTTTGGAAATCTTTTCCCTCCATCAAAGACATTATGAGTCTCTCAAATTCCGTCATCTAATCACGCTCAACTTTCGTTGGTTGCCTTTGGAATTCTTTTCCCTCCATCAAAGCCATTATGAGTCTCTCAAATTCCGTCATCTAATCACGCTCTACTTTCGTTGGTTGCCTTTGGAACTCTTTTCCCCTTGCCATTATGGTCTCTCAAATTCGTCATCTAATCCGCTCTCTACTTTCGTTGGTTGCCTTTTTCTTTTCCTCCATCAAAGCCATTATGAGTCTCTCAAATTCCGTCATCTAATCACGCTCTACTTTCGTTGGTTGCCTTTGGAATTCTTTTCCCTCCATCAAGCCATTATGAGTCTCTCAAATTCCGTCATCTAATCTTTTCACTCTACTTTCGTTGGTTGCCTTTGGTTGCCTTTGGAACTCTTTTCCCTCCATCAAAGCCATTATGAGTCTCTCAAATTCCGTCATCTAATCACGCTCTACTTTCGTTGGTTGCCTTTTGGAACTCTTTTTCCCTCCATCAAAGCCATTATGAGTCTCTCAAATTCCGTCATCTAATCACTCTACTTTCGTTGGTTGCCTTTGGAACTCTTTTCCCTCCATCAAAGCCATTATGAGTCTCTCAAATTCTGTAATCACGCTCTCTACTTTCGTTGGTTGCCTTTGGAACTCTTTTCCCTCCATCAAAGCCATTATGAGTCTCTCAAATTCGTCATCTAAAGCTCTACTTTTCGTTGGTTTTTGAGACTCTTTTCCCTCCATCAAAGCCATTATAAGTCTCTCAAATTCCGTCATCTAATCACGCTCTACTTTCGTTGGTTGCCTTTGGAACTCTTTTCCCTCCATCAAAGCCATTATGAGTCTCTCAAATTCCGTCATCTAATCACGCTCTACTTTCGTTGGTTGCCTTTTGGAACTCTTTTCCCTCCATCAAAGCCGTTAGGTCTCTCAAGTTACGTCATAAATCACGCTCTACTTTCGTTGGTTGCCTTTGGAACTTTTCCCTCCATCAAGCCATTATGAGTCTCTCAAATTCTGTCATCTAATCACGCTCTACTTTCGTTGATTTGCCTTTGAACCTTTTCCCTCCAGCCAGTAAGTCTCTCAAATTCAATCATCTAATGACTCTACTTTCAAACTCTTTTGTCCCATCAAAGCCATTAAGTCTCTCAAATTCTGTCATCTAACGTCACGCTCTACTTTCGTTGGTTGTTTTGGAACTCTTTTCCCTACATCAAAGCCATTATGAGTCTCTCAAATTCCGTCATCTAATCACGCTCTACTTTCGTTGGTTGCCTTTTGAACTCTTTTCCCTCCATCAAAAGCTTGTATTATGAGTCTCTCAAATTCTGTCATCTAATCACGCTCTACTTTCGTTGGTTACCTTTGAACTCTTTTCCCTCCATCAAAGCCATTATGAGTCTCAAATTCATTCATCTAATCACGCTCTACTTTCTTTTGGTTTTTTTTCCCTCCATCAAAGCCATTATGAGTCTCTAAATTCCGTCATCTAATCACGCTCTCATTTCATTGTTTGCCTTTGGAACTCTTTTTCCTCCATCCAAAGCCATTATGAGTCCTCTCAAATTCCGTCATCTAATCACGCTCTACTTTCGTTGGTTGCCTTTGGAACAACTTTTCCCCTCCATCAAAGCCAGAAGTATATGAGTCTCTCAAATTCGTCATCTAATCACGCTCCCTTTTCGTTGGTTGCCAAACTTTTTTCCCCTCCATCAAAGCCATTATGAGTCTCTAAATTTCCGTCATCTAATCTACACTCTACTTTGTTAGTTTTGCCTTTGGAACTCTTTTCCCTCCATCAAAAGCTATATTATGAGTCTCTCAAATTCCGTCATCTAATCACGCTCTACTTTCGTTGGTTGCCTTTGGAACTCTTTTTCCCTCCATCAAAGTTTTCATTATGAGTCTCTCAAATTCCGTCATCTAATCATTGCTCTACTTTTCGTTGGTTGTTTTGGAACTCTTTTTCCCTCCATCAAAGCTTTCATTATGAGTCTCTCAAATTCCGTCATCTAATCACGCTCTACTTTCGTTGGTTGCCTTTTGACTTTTTTTTCCTCCATCAAAGCCATTATGAGTCTCAAATTCCGTCATCTAATCACGCTCTACTTTCGTTGGTTGCCTTTTGGAACTCTATTTCCTCCATCAAAGCCATTATGAGAGTCTCAAATTCTGTCATATAATCATTGCCTCTAACGTTGGTTGCCTTTGGAACTTTTCCCTCCATCAAAGCCATTTTTGAGTCTCTCAAATTTCTGTCATCTAATCACTTCTACTTTCGTTTTGGAACTTGCCTTTGAACTCTTTCCCTCCATCAAAGCCATTATGAGTCTCCTCAAATTCCGTCATCTAATCACGCTTTCTACTTTCTGTTGGTTGCCTTTGAATCTTTTCCCTCCATCGAAGCCATTGTGAGTCTCTCAAATTCCGTCATCCTAATCACGCTCTACTTTTCGTTGTTGCCTTTGGAACTCTTTTCCCTCCATCAAACCATTATGAGTCTCTCAAATTCCGTCATCTAATCACGCTCTACTTTCGTTAGTTTGCCTTTGAACTCTTTCCCCTCCATCAAAGCCATTATGAGTCTCTCAAATTCCGCCATCTAATCACGTTTCATTCTTTCGTTGGTTGCCTTTTGGAACTCTTTTTCCCCTCCATCAAAGCCGTTATGAGTCTCAAATTCCGTCATCTAATCACGCTCTACTCGTTGGTTGCCTTTGAACTCTTTTTTTCCCTCCATCAAAGCCATTATGAGTCTCTCAAATTTCCGTCATCTAATCACGCTCTACTTTCGTTGGTTGTTTTCCTTTTGGAACTTTGTTGGTTCTTTTCCCTCCCATCAAACCATTATGATCTCTCAAAATTCCGTCATCTAATCACGCTCTACGTTGGTTGGGTTTTTGGAACTCTGTTTTCCTCCATCGAAGCCATTTATGAGTCTCTAATTCAAATAATCCGCTCTCATCTAACCTTTCCCCTCCATCAAAGTATTATGAGTCTCTCAAATTTAAATCATTTCGCTCTACTACTTTTGGAACGCTTTTTCCCCTCCATCAAGCCATTATGAGTCTCAAATTCTGTCATCTAATCACGCTCTACTTTCGTTGGTTTTAAACCTTTTCCCTCCATCAAAACCATTATGAGTCTCTCAAATTCCGTCATCTAATCACGCTCTACTTTCGTTGGTTGCCTTTTGAACTCTTTTTTCCCTCCATCAAAAGCCATTATGAGTCTCTCAATTTCCGTCATCTAATCACGCTCTTTCTTCGTTGGTTGCCTTTGAACTCTTTTTTCCTCCATCAAAGAAACCGTTAGGAGTCTCTCAAATTCCGTCATCGTCACGCTCTACTTTCGTTGGTTGCCTTTTGGAACTCTTTTTCCCTCCATCAAAGCCATTATGAGTCTCAAATTCTGTCATCTAATCACGCTCTCTACTTTCGTTGGTTTGCCTTTGGAACTTTCCCTCCATTTTTTTCCTCCATCTAATCACGCCATTGGTTGCCTTTCAACCTTTTCCCCTCCATCAAAGCCATTAATTCTCAAATTCCGTCACGCTCTACTTTCGTTTGGTTGCCTTTGGAACTCTTTTCCTCCATCAAAGCATTATGAGTCTCATCAAATTCCGTCATCTAATCACGCTCTCACTTTCGTTGGCCTTTGCCTCCATCAAGAACTCAAATTTTTAATCCTCCATCGCACTCTTTCCCCTCCATTATGAGTCTCTCTCAAATTCCGTCATCTAATCACGCCTCTACTTTTCGTTGGTTGCTTTTGGAACCTATTCCCCTCCATCGAAGTAACTATGAGTCTCTCAAATTCCGTCATCTAATCAAGCTCTATTTCGTTGGTTGCCTTTGGAACTCTTTCCCTCCATCAAAAGTTTTCATTATGAGTCTCTCTAAATTGGGTCATCTAATCACGCTCTACTTTCGTTGCCTTTGGAACTCTTTTCCCTCCATCCGTATTACAGAGTCTCTCTAAATTCCGTCATCTAATCACGCTCTACTTTTCGTTAGTTTGCCTTTGAACTCTTCCCTCCCTCCACTTTCATTATGAGTCTCTCAAATTCCGTCATCTAATCACGCTCTACTTTCGTTGGTTGCCTTTGAACTCTTTTCCCTCCATCAAAAAGCCATTATGAGTCTCTCAAATTCCGTCATCTAATCACGCTCTACTTTCGTTGGTTGCCTTTGGAACTCTTTTTTTCCCCCCATCAAAGCCATTATGAGTCTCTCAAATTCCGTCATCTAATCACGCTCTACTTTCGTTGGTTGCTTTAAAACTCTTTTTCCCTCCATCAAAACTTTATTATAAGTCTCTCAAATTTGTCATCTAATCAAGCTCTACTTTCGTTGGTTGCCTTTGAACCTTTTCCCTCCATCAAAGCCATTATGAGTCTCTCAAATTTAAATCATCTAATCACGCTCTACTTTCGTTGGTTGCCTTTGGAACACTTTTCCCAAATTCCATCATCACGCTCTACTCGTTGGTTATGAGTCTCTCCATCAAAATTTGAGTCGTCATCTAATCACGCTCTACTTTTCGTTGTTGCTTTTGAAACTCTTTTCCTCCATCAAAGCCATTATGAGTCTCTCAAATTCCGTCATCTAATCACGCTCTACTTTCGTTGGTTGCCTTTGGAACCTTTTTCCCTCTCATCAAAGCCATTATGAGTCTCTCTAAATTCCGTCATCTAATCACGCTCTCATTTCTTTCTTTGGTTGCCTTTTGGCACTCTTTTTCCTCCATCAAAGCCATTATGAGTCTCTCAAATTCGTCATCTAATCACTCTCATTTTGTTTGGTTGCCTTTGGAACTTTACCCTCCATCAAAAGCCATTATGAGTCTCCTCAAATTCCGTCATCTAATCAACTCTACTTTCGTTGGTTGGTTTTGAACTTTTTTCCTCCATCAAAGGCATATTATGAGTCTCTCATTCCAAATAATCCGCGCTCTATCATTTGTTACGAACTCTACTTCCTTCGTTGGTTGCATCTAATCACGCTCCTTTTTTTCTTTGGAACCTCCATCAAATTAAGCCATGAGTCTCTCCCCAAATTCCGTCATCTAATCACGCTCTACTTTCGTTGGTTTGCCTTTTGAACTCTTTCCCCTCCATCAAAGCCATTATGAGTCTCTCAAATTCGTCATCTAATCACGCTTCTTTTCGTTGGTTGCCTTTGGAACTCTTTTCCTCCATCAAAGCCATTATGAGTCTCTTAAATTCTGTCATCTAATCACGCTCTACTTTCGTTGGTTGCCTTTGAACTCTTTTTTTTCCCTCCATCAAAGCATATTATGTGTCTCTAAATTTCCGTCATCTAATCACGCTCTACTTTCGTTGGTTGCCTTTGGAACTCTATCCCTCCATCAAAGCCATTATGAGTCTCTCAAATTCCGTCATCTAATCACGCCTTCTACTTTCGTTGGTTGCCTTTGAACGCTTTTCCCTCCATCAAAATAATTATAAGTCTCTCAAATTCTCATCTAATCAAGCTCTACTTTCGTTGGTTGCCTTAAACTTTTTTCCCTCCATCAAATTATGAGTCTCTCAAATTCCGTCATCTAATCACGCTCTACTTTCGTTGGTTGCCTTTGAAACTCTTTTTTTTCCCTCCATCAAAGCCATTATGAGTCTCTCAAATTAAACTCATCTAATCACGCTCTACTTTCGTTGGTTGCCTTTGAACTCTTTTTTCCTCCATCAAAAGCCATATATATTATGAGTCTCTCAAATTCCGTCATCTAATCACGCTCTACTTTGTTGGTTGCCTTTGGACTCTTTTCCCTCCATCAAAGCCATTATGAGTCTCTCAAATTCCGTCATCTAATCCGCTCTACTTTTCGTTATTGCCTTTGGAACTCTTTTCCCTCCATCAAAGCCATTATGAGTCTCTCAAATTCCGTCATCTAATCACGCTCTACTACTTTCGTTGGTTGCCTTTGGAACTCTTCCCCTCCATCAAAGCCATTATGAGTCTCTCAAATTCCGTCATCTAATCACGCTCTACTTTCGTTGTTGCCTTCGAACTCTCTTTTTCCTCCATCAGCTATTATGAGTCTCTCAAATTCCAGTCGCCTAATCACGCTTTCTACTTTCGTTGCTTTTGCCTTGAACTCTTTTTCTCCATCAGTTTATTATGAGTCTCTCAAATTCCTTGGTCATCTAATCATTACTCTACTGTTATTGTTTTGAACCTTTTTTTTCTCCATCAAAGCTTACATTATGAGTCTCTTTCAAATTCCGTCATCTAATCACGCTCTACTTTTCGTTAAGTTGCCTTTTGAACTCTTTTTTTCTCCATCAGTTTATTATGAGTCTCTCAATTCCATGTCATCTAATCACGCCTACTTTCGTTATTGCTCTTAAACTTTTTTTTCCTCCATCAAAGCTTGTTATTATGAGTCTCTAATTCCGTCAACTAATCGCTCTCACTTTCGTTGTTTGCCTTTGAACTCTTTTTCCTCCATCAAAGCTCTACATTATGAGTCTCTCAAATTCCGTCATCTAATCACGCGCTCTACTTTCGTTGGTTTGCCTTTGGAACTTTTTTTCTCCATCAAAGCCATTATGAGTCTCTCAAATTCGTCATCTAATCACGCTCTACTTTCGTTGGTTGCCTTTGGAACTCTTTTTCCCTCCATCAAAGCCATTATGAGTCTCTCAAATTTGTCATCTAATCACGCTCTACTTTCGTTGGTTGCCTTTGGAACTCTTTTTCCTCCATCAAAGCCATTATGAGTCTCTCAAATTCGTCATCTAATCACACTCTACTTTCGTTGGTTGCATTTGGAACTCTTTTCCCTCCATCAAGCTTTTATTATGAGTCTCTCAAATTCCGTCATCTAATCACGCTCTACTTTCGTTGGTTGCCTTTGGAACTCTTTTCCCCTCCATCAAGCCATTATGAGTCTCTCAAATTCCGTCATCTAATCACGCTCTACTTTCGTTGGTTGCCTTTTGGAACTCTTTTTTTTCCCTCCATCAAAGCCATTATGAGTCTCTCAAATTCCGTCATCTAATCACGCTCAACTTTTCGTTGGTTGCCTTTGGAACTCTTTTCCCTCCATCAAAGCCATTATGAGTCTCTCAAATTCCGTCATCTAATCACGCTCTACTTTCGTTGGTTGCCTTTGGAACTCTTTTTCCCTCCATCAAAGCCATTATGAGTCTCTCAAATTCCGTCATCTAATCACGCTCTCACTTTCGTTGGTTGCCTTTGGAACTCTTTTTCCCTCCATCAAAGCCATTATGAGTCTCTCAAATTCCGTCATCTAATCACGCTCTACTTTCGTTGGTTGCCTTTTGGAACTCTTTTCCCTCCATCCCTCCATCAAATCCGCTCTACTTTCGTTGGTTGCCTTTGACTCTTTTCTCATTATGAGTCATCAAATTCACGTCATTCGTAATCACGCTCTACTTTCGTTGGTTGCCTTTGGAACTCTTTTTCCTCCATCCATTATGAGTCTCTCAAAGCTTGTCATCTAATCACGCTCTACTTTCGTTGGTTGCCTTTGGTCTTTTCCCTCCATCAAATTATTCTCAAATTCGTCATCTAATCACGCTCTACTTTCGTTGGTTGCCCTTTGGAACTCTTTTCCCTCCATCAAAGCCATTATGAGTCTCTCAAATTCCGTCATCTAATCACGCTCTACTTTCGTTGGTTGCCTTTGGAACTCTTTTCCTCCATCAAAGCCATTATGAGTCTCTCAAATTCTGTCATCTAATCACGCTCTACTTTCGTTGGTTGCCTTTGGAACTCTTTTCCCTCCATCAAAGCCATTAAAGTCTCTCAAATTCCGTCATCTAATCACGCTCTACTTTCGTTGGTTGCCTTTTGAACTCTTTTCCCTCCATCAAAGCCATTATGAGTCTCTCAAATTCCGTCATCTAATCACGCTCTACTTTCGTTGGTTGCCTTTGGAACTCTTTTCCTCCATCAAAGCTATTATTATGAGTCTCTCAAATTCCGTCATCTAATCACGCTCTACTTTCGTTGGTTGCCTTTGGAACTCTTTTTCCCATTATGAGTCTCCATCACGCTCTACTTTCGTTGGTTGCCTTTGGAATCTTTTTCTCCTCATCAATTTGCTTCATTATCTGTTGAGAATTCTTTTTCCTCCATCAAAGCCATTAAATTCCGTCATCTAATCACGCTCTACTTTCGTTGGTTGCCTTTGGAACTCTTTCCCTCCATCAAAGCCATTATGAGTCTCTCAAATTCCGTCATCTAATCACGCTCTACTTTCGTTGGTTGCCTTTTGGAACTCTTTCCCTCCATCAAAGCCATTATGAGTCTCTCAAATTCCGTCATCTAATCACGCTCTACTTTCGTTGGTTGCCTTTGGAACTCTTTTCCCTCCATCGCCATTTGAGTTGTCATCTAATCACGCTCTACTTTCGTTGGTTTTCTTTTCCCTCCATCAAAACCATTATGAGTCTCTCAAATTCCGTCATCTAATCACGCTCTACTTTCGTTGGTTGCCTTTGGAACTCTTTTCCCTCCATCAAAGCCATTATGAGTCTCTCAAATTCTGTCATCTAATCACGCTCTACTTTCGTTGGTTGCCTTTGGAACTCTTTTCCCTCCATCAAAGCCATTATGAGTCTCTCAAATTCCGTCATCTAATCACGCTCTACTTTCGTTGGTTGCCTTTTGGAACTCTTTTTCCTCCATCAAAAAAGCCATTATGAGTCTCTCAAATTCCGTCATCTAA